CTTATATTAAAAGTTTAACTGAGCAGAAGGTGTTTTAAAATCCCAAAGTTGATAAAAAGTCCCAAACATTTTACTGATTAAAACACCGAGTGAAAGCTTATTTTAAAAGCTTTACCACACGAAGGTGTTTAAAAAAAACCAAAGTCAGTAAAATTGCACCAAATACAGTCAACCTTAAAAAAAAACTTATCACCAAGAGTTAAAATCTACCACAGTTTAAAACTCCAACAAATCCAAACCAATGCAACCAAAAAGGGGTTAAAACCAAACAAAACCCAGGAGGACAGCAGAACCCCTGCACTGCTGCCTCCCAGACTGCTGAAGGCACAGCCCTTTTATGCACGTGTTTGCTCATCATGATGATTCCTCGCAGCTGTACTCCTCAGCAGCCCGGGAGAGAGGAGGAGGAGGGCCGGTGTCAGGCCTAGTCCACACGTAGCCGGGTTTTTTAAAAATGAATATCCGCCCCTCCAAAAACTTGCATCCACACCACCGTGTTTTAAACAAACTCTGTCCACACGTACCCGGATAAATACGTTGTTAAGGACATGCCAGACCTGTAGGCGGCAGTACTTCCCCCGTTCTTAAGCTCGTCCTTCGTCTGCGGTCTTCCGCAAGGAGCAGTAATTCCGCTTGCAACAACAAACAAGCAGAAAGCGCTTGGACAATTGATAAAGCGTGCGCAGCTCTGAGGGCGTCCATGCTGTTGGCTAGTGTAAACACAGGTCGCACACGTGATGTCAGCATTTTTTTGTTGCGGAAAGTGACGTTGCGGACCTTAAAACTCCGGTTTTGTCCGTCCACACGCAGACACCCAAAACGGAGAAAACACAGATCTTCACTTTGGCCGGAGTTTTTAGAAAGATCCGTTTTCGTGTGAAAAAACTCCGTTTTCGTGTGAAAAAACTCCGTTTTCGTGTGGATGACAGGCCAAAACGTAGAAAAATACCTACGTTTAGGCAGATCCCCGGCTACGTGTGGAGAGGGCCTTACTTGTGACGACTATGGCTTACAACTTACAAAAACCCCAAATTCATAATCTCAAACAGTTAGAATATTGTGAAAAGGTTCAATAGACTCAATGTGTCACTCTGTTCATCTTATTAGAGTGTGAATGGTCAGGACGCTAGCAACTTATGTTTTTTGAGATGAAAAGGTATTTTAAGTTGTTTAAACTTAAAATCCATGTTTCATGAATTAAGTGCAATAAATTAAGTCAGCCCGACAAACCAAATTAGTTGTGTGCTTCAACAATATTAAGTGAGTCGTATGAACTTACATATTTAAGTTGGACTTCATAATATCGTGCCCAAGTTCTGCTAACGTCCATGCTTTTGTTGTGAAATGCGGGAAAGTCTACTTTTGGAGTTGGAGGAGTCAGTCTCATTCTGCGTGTGGTCGAGGCAAAGGAGGCTGCATAGGTACGTTTTCCCCCTTTTCCTGGGTTCAAATTATGTTAAAAATAAATTATGAATATGTTTTGTGCTATATAAAGGTAGCCTACAACTTTTACAGGTGATTTTTTTTAAGGTAAGGCTGTCGACGGTTGAGATTTATGCTATAGGCCAGGGGTGTCAAACTCATTTTAGCTCAGGGGCCACATGGAGGGAAATCTAGTCCCAAGTGGGCCGGACCGGTAAATTAAAAACAACTTCAGATTGTTTTCTTTGTTTTAATACAATCAACATAAAACAAGGCTGGAGCCTGAGGACAGTGTATCCAAAATAGTACAAGTACAACACCTGAAGTGAACTTGAAAATTTGAAAGAAAAAATAAATCAATAAATTAAAAAAACATTCCTTAGTGATTCAAAGAGCTTACAGATCACATGGCTAGATCAGTTTCATGCAGCACTTAAAGTATATTTGACTCATTTTACTTTACATCTTTTAGCTTTCACCGGCACATCAACATCAGAAGTCACATCCTGAGTGGCGGCCATCTTCAGGATGTGATTCAAGTTCTTGTGTGAGCCTTGAGCGCAGCTGTGTTTTATTTATACTCATTACAGAGAAACTTGCTCACAAAGATAAGTTTATTTTCACTCTACATTGTAAAGTATGAAAATAAAGTTTACACAACCATCTCGCGGGCCGCATGTTTGACACCCCTGCATAGGCTATATTCTGCAACTAGCCTGTACTTAAAAAAACATGGACCTCTGTAACTAACTATTTCATTTCGTACGTGTTTATAGGTTGAAATGATATCTGCTATACCACTAATAATATTTCAATTTCTTTTGATAAACAAGCTAAATATTGAGAGAATAATTGCTAACTCACATTGCTAATGGCTAATGTAGCAACAGCAGCTAGCAATTAGTGTTGAATGTGCGTTGACTTAAAAACCACAAAATTATGCTTTAGTACACTTTACACCCATAGACGGCGGAGCAGATTTAGCACCGGGACGCAGCAGTGGGACTGGGGGGGCAGACAACACGGAGGAGCGGGACGGAGGAGCAGGACGTGGAGGAGCCAGTCCAAACACTGGCAAACAGTGCACCAACGCAGAGCTGTGGGTCCAAACACTAATTACTCTGGACCAGGCTGCTTAGAGGTGAGTTTCTGTTCTCAATTCTTTTTTATTTTCAGTTCTTTTTTTACATTTTGTCATAACTTCATCAGGTGTCTGCAAGAAATATATGATATGGCCCACCTCTAGATGAAATAAAAAAAGTTTTTACATTAATTATAAATATATAATTTAAAAGTGCCTGAGGGACATTTGATACACCTCTAGCTCTCAACTGTGTGCGTGTGTGTGTGTGTGTGTGTGTGTGTGTGTGTGTGTGTGTGTGTGTGTGTGTGTGTGTGTGTGTGTGTGTGTGTGTGTGTGTGTGTGTCAGCAGACAGCTGTACCAGTGTTTCTAAAGCTCAGGCTGGTAGAGAATAGGCACTAAAGTTAAAGTTTGACAAGAATCAGTACATTTTTATGCATTTAATCTACTGATTTTTGTATATAATTTCTCAAGACAGCTTGAAGTGAGTTAACATGTAAATAATTTACAGGAGGGAAAATATAGAGATGTATATCGTATATCAGAATTCAGCTAAAAGATATTGAGATATCAGTTTTGGTCCACATTGCCCAGCCCTACAATAAAGCATTAACATTGTTTTCCATCTCTTCTTAAAAGGATACTGACCCAGAGGAGGAGCAGACTAGAGGTCTCTCCGTGGGTATCCTCACTGTGCTGGAGGATGACGGTACTTCACCTGCTGTAAATGTGATGAACCTTGCTGTGGTTGTTGAAGAAACAACCATCCTTGAGGATCTCCCAGATCTGCCAACGGCTTTTGGCTATGTCTTTGGGTTGATCTATGTCTTAAACCTTCAATACCCAAAAGATCTCAGGTACACCTTTGAAACGGTTCAGAAAATCTTCATGGGACTTGGGACAGATCTCTCGGCAAGGGTAAGATCCCTCAAAAACAGGCTTTTTCTATGAATCCTATATGGTAGCTGTTGGATGTACCTTACCTTTTTTTTTCTTTAATGTCTTGCAGTTTTTCAGTTTTGGGCTTACTTAAATTTAGAGTTCAAGTCATTGTTTCCACTGTTGCCACTTTAATAAAAAGACAGTTTTATACAGAAAAAATATTATATAAATTTTTATTTGTAATGCTATGCTAGATATTTTTATGTTTTATTGGAGTTTCTCTTAAAATGTGTGAGACAAGGTCAGCATTTTGTTTGTTCCTGTTCAGCCAGTTATTCTGGAGTTGGGCTACTCAACCAGGTACACGCCAGGGTCTTGTAATTGTACATTAAAGTGCATAAGTTTAAAATAATTTAGTCTTACAGCTGGTCTCACAGCTAGATGTGTTGGGCTTCCTACCGTTGTAGTTCAGCTTTTTCAGCTGTTCTGTATCAAACAGATCTTAATGTTTTAATACCAATATTGTCTGTCAAAATAAGTTTTATGCTCCATAGCTTAACTTGTGTAGTGTTTTACTAAGCATTCTCAGTTTTTGAGAAGTGCTACACATGGTGTTTAACATGATGTGACAAAAGTTCAAAATAAAAACACTTTAGTCATCGGCATCTGAATTTGCTTTTGTTTAGAATTTTCTGTTTAAACCATCTGTTACATTATTACGTGTGGTCTGTGCTCAAAAGTGACATTTTCCTATACTTTTTAATAACAGAGTTGGTGTATGCAATTTATACATGAGGTGGTAATTCAACTTTTCACTGTGAAATGTGTTAAAAGTTGCAGCAAGTTGTAGTGGAGTAAGCTAAGGTCACAATTAAAAGTTGTTGAAATGTAAAATGTTATGCCTCAATAACTTGGTTGAGTTTGGAAAAGTCAAAAATAATAGCTGGTGTAATGTTAAATTTTAAGTAAGTGGAACTTTTAAAATTGAGGTATAAATTAGGATTTACAGTCAGTACTATTTCAAATTTTAAGTTTTTACAACTTAAAATTGGGTAACAAAAACTTGGGATTCAAAGTTGCTACAACATACACTTGAGTTAGATAAACTCAGGTTTCATACTTATTACAGTTTAAATTTTTGAGTCTTTCCAACTTATAACTAAGTTTGCAAAACTTAGAATTGAGAGTTTGTCAAAATCAAATGCTTAACTTAGAATATTAAGTTGATGCGCCAAACTTAAAATTTTCTTGAAGTTTGTTGCCTCAAAATTTTGAGTTTTCCCAACTTTTTTTTTTTTTACAGTGTACTTCCTTTTAATTTGTGAGCAGCACAGGCACTTCCCAAAACAGAGCTGAAGGTATAGCAGCAGACATGGACCATTTAGGGTTAGGGCTACAATGCTCCACGGAGGAAGTGTGTCAGCATGAACATTTAGACATTTATGAAGGGAGGAGCCCAGACAAAGCCTAAAACCAATGAGAAAATCATTTAGTCAACAGTTATTTGCATGAAGGACCTCTCACCACCGAAGTAATTCCTCTGCCGCGTGGCAATGGTTGTTTTCATTGTCACCCAAAAGACTCACAATTAACAAATCATCTTAAATAAATCTGTCAACTCTGGCAGTCTTTGGTGGACGCCATGAGGGCAGCTGGTGCATGACATCACACAACAACAAATGCTCAACTCTGTGTTCTCTTTGTTAAAAAGTCCAACCAGCAAATGAAAAGCCCTAACTTACTGTGACAGTGTGAGCGTCCTGTCACAATGTCCCGATTGATCATGCGCCCTGGCTACTTGGCCAAGGGGGTGTCCCTTTGGCTGACTGGTTAGCGCGCATGACTCTCACCCGGGAGTCTGGGGATCGAATCCCGCCCGGGCCCTCGTTTGTCCACCTTGCCACATTCAGATGATTAATAGACTCTTCAGTTAAAATATGGGGTGGAACCAAATTGAGGGCTGATGAAACCTCCATAACAGGGGTGTCAAACTTATTTTAGCTCAGGGGCCACATTGAGGAAAATCTAGTCCCAAGTGGGCCGGACCGGTAAATTAAAAACAACTTCAGATTGTTTTCTTTGTTTTAATTCAATCAATATAAAACAAAGCGGGAGCCTGAGGACAGTGTATCCAAAATATTACAAGCACAACATCACTATTAATAAAACACCTGAAGTATATTAGAAAATTTGAAATACAAAAAAATTAAATTCCTCAGTGATTCAAAGAACTAGACCACATGGCTATATCAGAGAGCATGGACGTCACTAGGATTGAGATATAGGGGGGGCTTAGCCCCAGGAGCTTGACCTTGAACATTTTTTTCACACCCTGCAAAAACTTTGTCAATTAATTCATTATCTGAAGAACATTTAACAAAACCTATTATTTTATCACTTTCTTTTCCTTTCCTACTTTTGTGCATTTTCTCTCTTCTTTTCATAAAAAATAACACTTAATCAGTTCATTAGTGGGGTCTATGTTGAAGAAAGATTTTATGTAAGTCCATTAAAAATTAGATATGTTATATTTCCAAATAAAGCTATTCATTTCAGTCTACTGCACTTAACAGGGGGAAATGTTGTAGTCATTTATTTAATTTGTTTACTTACAACTTGTTTAATTATAAATGTTACTGAAATGTGACAATAAAGAACAAATGAATAATTGTAAAACTTTTATTCTGCCAAATGAGTGTGCAGTTGACAGTTTTAATATATGAATAACACTGCTATGATATGGAATAAAGGAGTGTGTAATTAACTATTACAAGACAAAATAACAGTATATATAAAAATATCCAGCAAGTAGTAGAACTTATAATACAGAAAGTCAACTATACAGATACAACTTGACATAAGGTTGCAGGCCAGATGATAATTATAGTTATTTTTTTTCAGGTAAATGCTCATAACGGTGCGCTTGCCCCTGTTTCCTGTAGATCACTGACCTTGTCCATGCAGATCTCCTCAGCATCAACCACCTGGTCTCTCCTGTTCCTCACTCACTCTCTTAAAAAAGTCTTCATATATCCATCTAGCCAACACATTGAAAAACATTTTCAATTTCTAATGCCAGAACAAATGCTACTATACCATTCAGTTTTCACTCACAATAACTGAAACAGCCATTGGTGGATAAATGGGACAGAATATGGACAACTGTTAGCCTAATATAGCCCATGTTTGGTTGCTCATGATGATGGCATTTTCCATAACATCACATCGAGCTGCCAAAATTTATGTTAAAGTTAGATGAGTACAATATCTCCTTTCTTTACCATAGGTAAACATAGGAAATATTAAGCAACTGACAACCCACATGGAAAGAATTCATAAACATATAGGTTTTAATATATGTTTTGATGTAGCTTTTGAATATATGTGACATATATAAAACTGGCTGTTTACTATATTATAGATACATATATGTACCTATAATATAATATATATATTATAGAAAAATATATAATAAAGAAAAATGGTCAATAATATACACATTCGGCCATATTCTGATTCAGGTTTGTAGTGTGGAGTGATTTTTGTGGCACCAACTGGAGCGTGCAGTGATCAATCTGCAAGAGCACAACGTCGTAGGCAGCCCTCTCTCTGCATGCTCAACTCCGTCTCTGCCTGCACAAATCTCCCTGCTGTTGCTCAATTTGCAATTTACAAAGCAATGTAGCCTCTCCGTCAGCCAATCAGAGAGCTCTCCATTATGCAATCAAAGCATGTCCAGGAAATACTGGCAGGAAAATGGCACTTTTTTCAGATAAAGAGGACTTTATATAATTATATTTAATTAGGTTGATTAACCCTCCTCTTTTCCTGGGACATTTCCACTGTTCACTTCCTTTTACACACCAAGGGATCATTTATGTCTGACCAAACAGAGAAGAAACACTTTATATGTTGAAATTAAAAGTCCTCTTTAACTGAAAAGAGTGCAATTTAACAGTTTTAGGAATAGGCAATGTGTCTTTTCTGGAAGTCAAATATGGTCACCCTAATCATGACACATGAATTACAACAAAGTATCTTGCAGGCAGTGGATGGTGACTGGTAGCTAACCAGCAGCAGAAAGCAGTTTAATAAGCTGTTAAATGGGTGTTTTTCTGTAAAGCAGTGTTTCCTGGACATGCTTTGGTTGGATAAAACAGAGCTGTCTGTGACTGACTGTTGGAGAGGCTACTTGTTGAGGAGAGCAGGGAGAGATTTGCATGTGCAGAATTGATCCCATAGAGAGGGCTGCAGCTGCTGCACACAAGCGCAGAGCAGGTTCTGTTTGTGCAGACTCATTACTGTACTCTCAAGTTGGTGGCACTAAGTCACTCAATGAACTGGCTGGGTGGTTAATCATGTCACTTCAGGGGAGTTTTCCGACCATTTTACTTGACATCAAAGCTTTTCATTATGGTTTGCGGCATGTAAACATGCTAGCGGAGTTAGCATTAGCATGTCGGGGCGGTAGCATTTTCCTCTCTCGTCTGAACTATAACCTTGAAATATTAACGGTGTGCTGCTGTTGCTGTCTTACCCTAATGTGATGTTGAGTGACTTACATGAGCGCTGAGCAGGGTTTGCTCATCGATATAAAGGTTTTTCTGTATCGCCCCGCCCCCTGACTTGTCAACAAAGCTGCGGGCTTAAGGAAGTGGAGGAAGTCCTTTCTTGATACTTCCTGTGTGCGACGGTGTAGTTCTATATTCATTAATTATTATTTCTGTTTCAGACTAAAAAACTCATGTACCAACTACACGTGTCGTGATTGTGTTCAGCATGTAGATGTGAACAAATAAAAAAAGTTAACTGAAAAAAATAAAATAAACCAAAATGATAGGGGGGCTTGTGATTATTTTAGGGGGGCTGAAGCCCCCCTAAAACGGACCTAACGACGTCAGCGTCAGAGAGTTTCATGCAGCACTTTAAGTTTATTTGACTCCTGATACCTGACATCTTTTAGCTTTCACCAGAGCATCAATATCAGGAGTCACATCCTGAGTGGCAGCTAACTTCAGGATGTGATTCAAGTTCTTGTGTGTGAGCCTTGAGCGCAGCTTTGTTTTATTTAAACTCATTACAGAAAAAACTTGCTCACAAAGATAAGTGGTTCCAAACATGCTCAACAGTTTTGCAGCAAGAGCTGTCAGTCCAGCTGTAACAAATTTGCCCTTCAAATCCGAGTCACACTGCAAGTCTATTATTTCAAGTTGGATGCTGGTGGGGAGATCAGAGGGATTCACGGTGAATGGGGAGCAAAAAATTCTGAAGTCCTTCTCAAGTTCATCAAAAATCTGAAAGCGTAGCTCAAACTCCCTCAACAGTCCCGTTATTTTATCTTCGAACCGCTTCATGTCGGCTTCATGTTGGGACGCACGCACTTTTTTCAGACAGGGGAAGTGAGCTGCGTCATTAACAGCGAGTTGCGTCTCCCACAAAGACAGCTTTAACTTGAAAGAACGTATGCTGTCGTAATACTGCGTGACAACTTTGTTGCGGCCTTGCAGCTGTTTGTTCAAGTTATTAAGGTGCTCTGTAACATCCACCATAAATGCAAGGTCCTGCACCCATTCTGCAGAACGAAATTCTAACACTGGTTTGCCTTTTTCTTCCATGAAATGTTCAATTTCTTCTCGTAAATCAAAGAAACGCCTCAGCACGGCACCTCGGCTTAACCACCTTACCTCAGTGTGGTATGGCAGGCTATAGATGTGGTCGTTCTCTCTGAGAAGGCTGTCAAACTGATGGTGATTCAGGCTTCTGGATCGGATGAAATTAACAGTTTGGGTGACCACTTTCATGACGTTATCCATCTTTAATGACTTGCAACACAAACTCTCCTGGTGCAAAATACAGTGAAAAGTCCAAAAATCACCTCCTCCATTTGCAGATTGCACTTTCTCTCTGAACTTTGTCACAACACCTGATTTTCTCCCGGTCATTGAGGGCGCGCCATCTGTAGCGAGGCTTACAGCGCGGGACCATTGCACTCCGACCCTGTCCTGCGCTCCAACGAGTGCGGTGAAAATATCAGCTGCTGTTGTTGTATCCGTCATGGGCACCAGCTCAACAAACTCCTCGGTGACGGTCAACGTGTCATCAACTCCGCGGATGAAAATCGCCAGTTGAGCAACATCTGTGATGTCCGTGATTTCATCAATAGCAACTGAAAAAGCAATAAAGGACTTTACTTTTTCCCTTAATTGGCAGTCCAAATCCGCTGAAGTATCAGAAATCCTGTCTGCTATTGTGTTTCTGGTCAGGCTGATATTTGCAAAAGCTTGGCGCTTTTCAGGGCACACGATCTCCGCTGCCTTCATCATGCACGTTTTTACAAACTCCCCCTCACTAAATGGTTTTGAAGTGACTGCAATTTCATTAGCAATCAGGTAGCTAGCTTTCACTGCAGCATCACTGATATCTTGGCTGTGAGTAAACGCAGACTGCTGTTTCTTCAGTCCGGCCAACAGTTCATTCACCTTCTCTCTTCTCCGCTGTGCTTCAAATTTGTCATATTTTTCGGCATGAAGACTCACATAATGGCGACGGAGATTATATTCTTTCAGCACTGCAACGTGCTGTGAACACACCAAACACACAGCTTTTCCGTTCACTTCCGTGAAAAAATAAGAGGATGTCCATTTTTCTTGGAACAACCTGCACTCTGTGTCCACTTTTCTCCTTTTTGACAGAGACATCTTGGGCTGAAGCACAAAATGTAGACGCTGTATGAGATTTCGGAGGCAAAACAAAATAGCATGTCAGAACACCGGTTGCACTTGACTGACGAATTTACTCTGGCTGAGGATAAACGGCTTGCTTGCTTAACGCAATGCCTATTGCACCATCTTGTGGACGTATTGGGAATAGCAGTTCTTTTAATTTAAAAATTCGAATTTATTTTCACTCTACAATGTTTATCAAAGTTTACACAACCATCTCGCGGGCCGAATCGAACCCGTTTGCGGGCCGGATCCGGCCCGCGGGCCGTATGATTGACACCCCTGCTCCATAATATATAAAAATACTACGCTATTCTCACTGGGTATACCACGTTGACAGAGCTGATTTTCCACTTGTGCAGCCTTCGAGGTCGGGTGAGTTTTGCGTACTGTAGTAGGGGAACAGGAAGCAATTAACACCTTGCAACCAGTTCCCGATCAATAATCGTGCGGTTGCACGAAAATGAAACATATTTGAAATTCTGCTCCTCCCTCAAGCAGCACCACGACCCGAGCAGCTGGTCAGAAGGTATAGTGGGTTATCCAGTACTCGGAAGAATGCAGGTTAGATCCCGGCTCCCGACAGACAATGACGTTCCTGTGTAGCCTAGTGAACTAGACCAAATTCTTGCTTTGCAAAGTTTGGTCTAGGCACGCTCCACTGGAACCTCTGCAGCTCCTACCAGGACTCTGGCTAGCCAATCACAGCTCTCTAGAGGGGTTTCAAACACATAAAAGAGCTGTGATTGGTTCATAATGGTGGGCCAATCATAGTGCTCTATCTGCTTAGTGAACAAATCACAGAGCTTTATCCGCTTTGTGGGCCAATCAGGGCCCTCTATATGCCTGGTGGGTGGGATGATGCAACAGAGTGAAACAAGAGGATGTCACATTCATTGTCCAGTAGAATGCGGAGATCATTTGAAAGACAACGGTAGAACCCGCCCCACAACCGAGAGCCGTCAATGGAGCGTGGCCAGACTAAATAACACATTTATTTAGTCTGGCTTGCCAGGCTAGTTCTTGTGTGCTTGGGCAAGACACTTCACCCATCTTCCCTGTTGGTGGTCGGAGGGACTGGAGGTGCTTGTGCAGGGCAGCTGTGTCTACACTCGGTAGCTCATCACCACCAGTTTGTGAATGGTTAAATGATACACTGTAAAGCGCTTTGTAGTCCTCTGACTCAGAAAGGTGCCATACGAGTGTGGGTCATTTATCACTTACCTAAAGTACAAGAACCACTCACACAAGGCATGCACCAGAACATCCTTGTTGGCTGTCTTTGAGACATTTTCTGTGTTTGTTTACGTAGCAGGATGAGGTAACCTGCTCCTGATTATAATAAAGAACACCCGGCCCCGGCAGTCACCAGTAGGGGAGCTGTGGGCATAAAAGCAGACCCAGTCAGTGTTTCTTTCATTGCTCACAGAAGTAGCTGCACTTCGGACAGTAGCAGCGTAAGTTGGACCAGTGGCGGCGCCAGGGGGCGCTATAGCTACCCCTGGATTAGTCATTGCACCCCCATAGCACCCCCAAGTAAATATTAGATTTTTTTTTACAATGTAATTTTAATTGAACGTGTGGATGTGATAATATTCAACATACGAAACAAAAATAATCAGTAAATCATCATATAGATAGTAAAACTTAAACCAAAACAGGAAATTGATGTTAACCTTTGACCTCATTTTCCACCTGTGAACGAGTGAAAGGTAGAGCTAGTGGTAAGATGGATCGGTTTTTGTTGCCCACATTTCCACGGGTTCAGTCAGGAACAGATGAATGTTTGGACGTGATCTCAGACCCACAAAAATCTACGGATCTGGATGAAGAGAGTCAACCCTCAACCGCCGCAGCAGTCCAGGGTTTAGCCGCTGGAAATGCTAACGCTAACGTTAGCTAACCTTGCAACACTACAGATGGTTTTCTGTGTGGCTGTGTGTGTTTATGATTTCATGGAAAAGTCAGCGATTGTTCATATGTTCATGATGTATATTAATAATTGTTTCAGGTGTTGTTGAGGTGTTGTGCACGCATGTGTGTCTGCTAGCGTTGAAGGTGTTTTAGAGAACAATAGGTACGCATGACCACTTCCTTCATAGCACCCTCAATAAAAACACTAGCTCCTTCATAGCACCTGCAGAAAAACATTTCTGGAGCCGCCACTGAGTTGGACGTGTGTTGGATCACGGTGAGTACTCTGATCAGCTGGTAAAAGCAGATTAGTGACAACTTATACAGGCTTGTATGCAGACTGAGGCAACATTTGGAAGCTTCATAAGAGCTGTAACTTTACCTGCGTGCTGTTGGATGGGAAGCGTGCCTACCTTCTAGTGTGACCTATTGTTGGAGTGGTATGTATGTGCGGCACGCCCCCTCCCTGCACGCTCAGTCATGACTACTCTTTTCTGGGGTTAACAAGGTTTATTACCTTTAAGGGCCCGAGGTGTTGTGGTGCTTGTGAAACATTGTTTTGAGTCACTGCCGTGACTCCCAAACAACCGAGGAGCGGTTCAACGGAGCTGACCGACCTACCTAGAGCGATTGGGCTGCCGCTCACTTGGAGCGCAACCAAGGATTGGACTATTAGTAGCGCTCCTTCGCCAGACGTTTTCCACCCAGCGTGCCGGTTGGAGTGGATAGAGATCCCCTCTCTCCTGGCGCAGGAGGACTCTGGGGCATTATTTTATATTTGAACAGTGTTCAGGCTGGAGCCAAGGGTGGTGGCGATGGTTCTCAGGTGGCGTTTGCTGTGGGCGAGCTGGTGTTGGTTCCTTTCACATCTGCGTGACTGCTCACTAGTGCTTTGGGTGATTTTTGGTATTTAGTTTCTTATTTTGCTAAAACCTCCAGTGATCCCACTACACCTTGGTAAGCTCCAGCCTTGTGACGCTAGTTATTTTTCTTAGTTTAAATTCCCCCTTTTTTAAATTAGTATTTTTAAATGACTTTTTAAACAGTCTTTTATTAAACAGTGTTTAATAAATTTGAACTTTTTGTAACCTCGTTTCTGCCGCCTCTGTAGAGCATGAACCTACGTGTGCCTAGAGGTATCCAATTTTATTTCCTTGGGTGAAATTCCCAAGGTGGCGTTGTGTGTTCTCCCAGTTTAGGTAGTAAATAATCAAGGTTAAAGGTACAAGCTTGATAAAGAAGGTACCCTACCGCGAGCTCCGCCACATTTGGCATTGTGACGGTGGCACAGGAGTTAAGTGCTCGCCCCGCAATCGGAAGGTTGCAGGTTCAAGCCCCGCTCAGTCTGTCGCTGTGTCCTTGGGCAAGACACTTAACCCACGTTGCCTGCTGGTGGTCGGAGGGACCGGTAGCGCCAGTGCGCCCCAGGGCAGCTGTGGCTACATCGTAGCTCATCCCCACCAGTGTGTGAATGACTGATTGTTGTAAAGCGCCTTGGGGGGTTCCAGGATTCTAGAAGGCGCTATATCAAATACAGGCCTTTTACCATATAATATTCTGCTTAGTACCGACCCATTCCGCCACATATCCTTTGTTTTTGTGTTCTTAATAATACAGAGTAGCAACGTTTGTTTTTACCCTTTTTTTCCATCGAAAATTTCGGCACTCACTGGCGTCTTCCTCAGAGTGGTGGTGATGTCACTTCCTTGCCGTTTGATCTGCAGGCAGTAGAGGACAGTGTCACCTTCTACTGCCCACGCCCGCTTTGTCAGTGACCATGTCCTACAGTGCATCCGGAAAAGTATTCGTAGCTCTGGACTGATACCACTCTGTTTATGTTACAGCCTCATTCCTAAATGGATTAAATTAATTTTGCCAATAAAATTCAGCACACAACACCCCATAATGATGTGAAAAAAGTGTCTTAGAAGTTGTTACAAATATATTAAAAATAAATTGAAATCTTCTTTGTAATCAGGTTGTAGGTTCAAGCCCCACTCAGTTTGTCAGTGTGTCCTTGGGCAAGACACTTAACCAATACAAGGATTGAAAAGAAAATATATCCCAAAACATTGGCTTACTACTAATTCATCTACTGTCAACCTCCATAAACCCATGTCCTCCAACTACGGCAAGCCTGAAGGACAAAAGACATTAAAAGCACAGTAGTCTTCAGGTCAACTGGGTTTTAAAGCTCAAACATCCAACGTGCTGCGTGAAAATTCCTTTTTACAAAACATATTTTTGGGTCCGACGTGTTGCTATCGCATTTGCTGTGTTACCATTCAGGTCACATTTGAGCGCTGGGTCATCCAGAGCCTGACTCGTGAGCCTTGCCCCTACAACAAAGTCGTACAGTTTGAGATGGAGCTGAATACTGTACCACCTGCCTTCTGACCAACCAGTGTGTTCGTGTGTTTTTGTCCACACTGTTTTAAAGCATTGTTGGAAAACTTTTAAATCTAAAAGACCAACTAAAATCTTCACTTCTTTACAGGTGATGTGCAAAATGGCGCCACCTGGGAAGCCCAATCACAAGCGGATTAAGCAGTTTTTCTTATGATGGAGCAGCATTGCTTAAACATCCTCCAAAATGGCCCAGTGCATCCAGCCGACACTGGGGGCTGGTTCAGACTGCTTGGTCCGTCTGAACGCGACTCCAGGCCTCCCCTCAGCACACCAGTTCAGTTTGACAGAGCCACGGATATCTAACTTTATGATTCACCACATTAGAAAAATCAACAAGAGAGAAACAATGCCAATAAACAAGAGTTCACCACATACCTGTACAGTATGAGTAAGCCACAGGGATCCAGTGTTCTGCATGCCTTCTCCTTAAATAGAGCAGTGCCTCAACAAACTCATTGGATGCACCTGTGTCACCACACCCACTGCAATTACAGTAACTCCAAGTGTACCGTACAGTTCTACCAGGTTATAATACAACCAATGAAGAAGTCACTTGGTGTACACTCGGTTCAAAGAGGGAAGGGAGGTTGTCCCTTTCTGGAAGACGAGTGGTTGAATCTTTAGACCCAGCAGGCAGCACGTCAAAGTGCCCTTGAGCAAGATGTTGAACCCTGTGCAGCAATGTTAGCTTTTCAGGTACAGGTCAATACTGTAATGGATCAGAAACACGTCGGGACCACTCGGATCAGAAATCGGGGCCTACAAATGTGCCGGGAGCTTCTCTAAAACAAGTGTGCTGCCTGTTGAATGTGACATGCTGCCAAGCAGAAAGTGCGGTCACAGAAATGCACGGTTTCCTCCCAAGTCATGTGTCTCGTGAAAGCTCTCATTTGACTGGGAAATGTTGGTGTGTGAAGTTTGTTCATGTGTAGTTTTTGCCGTGTGGACCACACCGCGAGACCAAAGCTGGTATATCTCTGATTGACTCACCACACGAGGGGGTTCTCGTGTTTTATAAGATCATTTAAAGATCCTGCTGTGTGAAGACAACCTTTTCACAAAAAAGTCCAATAAGACCAGATCAACCTCAGGAAGATCAACCTTTATTTATTTGAAACTGCTTGCATACAAAATATATTCCACTATAACCAGACATGTCAACCTGAACATCTGAAACGCAGGTAGTATGTACAAAAGAAAACAAACATTAAAATGCCAAAAAAGTGCACACAAGGTTTTACAGCTTTTGTTGAAATACCCTGGTTGAAGTATCTACAGATTCTCTGCAAGTCGTTACTTTTTCTTCTTAAATATTTTTAGCACTCTATTGTTGAGTAGCCCACAATGTGTTCAGTTAGTATTTGCCGATGTTACATTCTACAAATACGTGTACGCTGACATTTGGACCGACAACAAGCACAGTTTTGATTCACCCGATCCTTGTTTGAATCCCATAAACCATGGTGCAACTCCAACATGGATACGTTTCATAAGAGAGGGATGCAACACGGTAACCTCTGACTGGATCACAGTTAAAAGGAACTGATCGGGAACGTCACACTGGCGATCCTTGGGCTTTCCTTTGTGTCTCGACACTTTCTCGTTTATAGGGTCAGTTTGACGTTTTGAGTGGACAGCGTTGGGTAGGATGACACTTTGAGGTTAGGCTACTTTTACAAACCACCCAAGCTAACACATTAGCATTCCTGACTTATGACTGTCACCTTTATCATTACATGACATACACACCCAAGATTTTTTTTTTATTTTAACAGTTCTATCACCACCGTGATGCCAAAAAGGTCCAAGAATGTTCGACATCGATAACAACCCCGCCTACTGACAGAGTCAGAGTGAGACACCGGTGAGTTTACAGTGATTCGCCATTTCCAGGAAACATTCCTGCTCCAGAATCCGTCATCACTGTTAAGACAGTTTGGTGGTACTTAGTGGGGCGCCGCCTGAAATGTGCAGCAAAAGCATCACTCGGAACACATTGGGTTTTAAAAGGTACCGACCGCTACGGATCAGGACATCTGTCGTTTCCGTGCATGTTGTCATAGCTGCAAGGTCATACCAGAGGTCAGGTGATTCACATGCCATGAACTGTACTAATCTCAGGTTAGTGGTTTACATGGCAGGTCACTAGTTAACAGCAGAGCTGCAAAACAACGTCACAATCAGTAAGTTATACTGTAGGAGAGTAAATGCTTCCCTCGCACCGTTTCCTCTGAGACCCCAACTGGTCTGCATGCAACAGGTCTTTTATCATTTTAGTGCTTTTATTATTTACATTTTCCACAATAGTACAAGCCTCAGTTTAGAATGACCGTTTCCTAGTGACGCCGCTCATCACCCAACCAGAACATGAAAAAGCCATTAAACATCTGTCCAGAGCTGGTTTAGGATCCGGTCTTAACCTGCTGTTAGGAGGCACGGTTAACCAGTAAGAAGGTCGAAGCAGTTGGAACGTTTCACTGGCGTGACAGGAGCGCTGATGGGAGACAAAACCTCCAGAACATCTCATTCTCACAACCAGCACCGTTGTCAGAGTAACGAGGGCTCAGAGTCATGCCACACAACCGTTATTCCTTAATGTGGCTGTCAACGGAAAGAGGCTAACGTGTTTTGGTCCGAATACATAGAAAACAAGACAGTCCATGGATCATTTTCAGAACTGGAATTAAAAGGGAAAATCCGTCAGAACACATTATTTACTTGAAACAAATGAAACGAAGCTCCGTGTTTCAAATCAGCCCGACATGAACTTTCTGTGGTCTCAGAGGGTGGTTAGTCGGTACGAGAACCGCGAGCAGAAAGAGTTCAGCGAAAAGTCACTCTGAGCAAGCCTCACAACAGTTGGTAGACAGACAATATAGAAAAAGGAAGCGTGTAGTCTGGACTGAGCTCCTCGTCTGGTTTACGTTTTCTTTCATGCTTAACTAAACTAATCCAAGCTAGAAATCTTCTGCCTTTAGGATGAGGCTCCACTGATTCCAACCCAACATTTGCAAAAGAAAGAGTCCACTCCAAACTTACTACGTGAAATCGTTTTAGAGAATTTGATCATTTTAGTTCCTCAACACGACCCAGGGACAGACCACATTTAATGGTTTTTCAGAATAAAGACGTTTTTTTTTTTACAGTTTGGACAGACTCTAAACACGTTTTTACTTTTTAAACTACACTATAATAAGCTAAACACCACTGGACTCAAGCTATTAGCGTTAAGAAAAATGTTGCATACTGACTTAATTATAATGGTAACTACACTCAACAAACATATAAACGCAACACCTTAAAAGGGTAGCCTTTTATTGTGGGCAGTATAAGGTACACCTGTGCACTACTCATGATGTCGGATCAGCATCTTGATGTGGCACACCTGTGAGGTGGGATGGATTATCTCAGCAAAGCAGAAGTGCTCACTATCACACATTTAGACTGATTTGTGAACCATGTTTGAGAGAAATGGTAATATTGTGTATCTGGAATGAATTTTACATCTTTAGGTCCATCTCATGAAAAATCGGAGCAGAAACAAAGGTGTTGCATTCATATGTTTGTTGAGTGTACGTCCACCAGTCGGATGGGTCATAGACGAATGCTCAGTAAACTTGTGCTGGTTTTAACGTCGATGGTTCTGATTGTTCAACAGGTCTAGGAGCAGAACTCGAGTCTGACTCGGCAGCGGAAAACACCAACTGTGTCACATTAAAACACTCGGGAACGAGACGTAGTTTACTTCAGAAGGACTGACAAACTCTTTTGGGTAAAGTTAACATTTCCAAGCAAACAACTACATTTAAAGATAAAATTAAGTCATAAAAAAAGCAGTAAAATTAACTGAAACTCTTTTCTGTTGCACGTCCACAGCTGAGTGGGACATGTCGGCGTGAATCTGCAGTCTCTGGGTCTGCAGCCGTGTACTATCGTGGCGGGATTTGATTGAATCCAAGCATCTCATCACAAAAATAGCGAATATTTGATCAACTGTGACATCTCATTAGTGCCAGTGGTAATATTGTGCCTACCGTTGCTTTTGAAGGTGTACAATGTCATGATACAGAGCTTAACATGACGGAAAACGTATTGCTGCCCAATATTAACTTGAATTAAACATAATGAACAGTCACAGCATCCTTTACACTGAGAGCGGAATGGACCAGAATCGGAATACCGCAAAGACCAAAGATCACTGAGCCCAACTGGAGCATTTACACCGGGGGCGGAAGTTTCCCTGAAGAGTCTTTTTCATCAACGCCATATGCAGAGTTTCATGAAGTTCTAGAAATTATGAGCCAGACAGGAAGTTAGATGTGTGCCAGTGGTGCATCCAGTATGTTCAAAAATAAAACCGGTTGCATTTTCAACCGGATGTTTCGCTTTCATCATCGTTGAACGTTTTTATATCCTTAAAAGTGTTCTCAAGACTTCTAAAGTGAACTTGCGTGGGCTGGTTAGGGTTAGGGTTAGGGTTCTGGTGGGCGCACATTTCCAGAGACACACTGCACTTAATCTGCGGTCGGTGTGAACAGCAGTCCGCCCAGAAGCTGTACTCGGTGTAGACGAGGCATCACACCAGGCGTGGAACGGATCGTGGTTTTGCTGAAGGTTTCTACACAAAGGCTATTTTTTCTGCACTCTGCATGTGGATCATCATTAAGGAACTACATGAACCAGACAGGAAGTGAGACGTGGTTGAGTGAGGTGAATCCAGCATATTACTAAATAAAACTCATGTTGGCTTTTTAAAAGTGATTTGTGACACATATCGTTTCAGCGTGTGATATTTTTACAGGAATGTCTTCAAACGCATCAAGTTAAAGTGTCTAATCCCTTGGTCCTCTTGTGTGAGCAGATGTCAGAACATGACCTGCAGTCCACCTGGAAGCTGTAGAAACCGCACCGCATCCATTCCACACTCAGTGTAAATGAGGCGCAACTTAAGGCTGCTGATCAAGTTCATGCTTTAATCATCCCATTAGGTTTAGCTTCACAGATTCACCCCCCCCCCCCCTCGCTGACGCCGTGTTGATTTGTGACTCCATCCTGCTGAGGAGGAGACGTTTCTAGACATCGTAGGAAGTTTACGGTCAATAGTTCTTAGCCTTTAACTTGGAATGAAACAGCAAGAACAAAATAAGAGTAAGTTCACATTTGTACAAATCTACACCTACCACATGGCAACCTCGTTACCATCTGTCCATTCTGGGATTTTATTAATCAGCTATACTGGAAATGCTCGACTGAGACTAGAGGCTGCTGCTCTGAAGCGAGACTGGTGTTATCGTTTCCTGTAACGGTCCGTGTGTGTCTGAGGCGGGTTTCTAGTCTCAGATGAGACGCCGGTCTGACGTCTGCAGACGGACTCTGCTCAGAGTGGACGTTAGATCAGAAATCTAGACAGAAACGAGAGATGTGCATGCATCACTAGACTACAAAGGTGAAGAGCTCCGTTATAAGCAGCTCTTATTGTGTTGGTTTGAAATTCTTAGGTGGTCCAGATGAACTAGACCAAAACCATCAACAGCCCAGACCTAAAGGCGCTGCTTCTCCTGAACCAGTAACACCTGGGGCCTGATCCGCTCAGGTGAGTCAGAACCACTCCCACCACCTCTTCAGCAGTGATTTCCACCCTGTGAGCTCCATCACAGCGTTATTTTCCTTCTTTATGGAAAATCAACTCTGCTCTGGATTCTTTTAAATCCTACGTTAGATACAGCTTAACTGATGGAGAAGTGTCACCACTTCCAGTGATGGCCTCCGGAACGGCCTCAGCTTAGAGAAAAGAATGGCTATCCTCCAAGCCTTTACACCGCCATCCATTTTACAAGAAAATACTTCTTATTTTGTCCTTCTGAGGTCTTTTAGGGGGTTAATCTCTGGGGCAGCTATGGGACAAAACGGGAGGAATCGCTTACGATTACCAGAAACGGCAAAGCTGAAAGCAGCAGTGATACGACCAAACTAGCTGTTAGCTTATTAATCTGGTAGAGAATTTGCAATTTCTCCCAACAGAGGCTGTTCAGGAAGCTACCATGTTTGTTTTCTTAAAGATGTATAAATGACTTAAACATAGTTGCTTCTCCAGTTTGGTTCACAACAAGTGTGTGTGTGTGTGTGTGTGTGTGTGTGTGTGTGTGATGGGGGGGGGCTATTAAATGTGTGTTGAATTAACCGTTCTATTTGTAACGTTTGTGCGGATTTTAAATCTGTGATGATTTCCTTTTGATGTTTTATTTTCTTTTTTTTGGGGGGGGGGGGGGGCAAAGGTGTGTGTGTGTGTGTGCTAACGTGACTTATCCTACTGGAGTAACTAAAACCAGCTGACTACACGATCAACACCGAGCTCACATCTGAATAAGCACTGAAGCTCTGGATGAGTTTTAAGGAGACAAAAATCTCACCAACGCACAGAAAACCCCTAAAATATTTGTTTATACATTTCATTAAGTAAAAAGACTCAAATTCAATATTCACGCCATTTGTCATAAACCCACTAACACCCCCCCCACACACACACACACACTAACCACCTCCAGTCCTGCTGTCCGAGCGGAGGCGGTCTGATCACCGACGCAGTGGGGAGGACCTTCAGAGGCTGTTTTACGTTTAAAACTGCCCTCTGCTGTGTGAACTACTGACCTCTACCAAGACGTCAGAGTCTGAAGTCACCGGTTTACGCAGCAGCAGCAGCATGTCTGGAGTCCCAAACAGCTCCGCCTGATCAGAGGAATCAAAACTAGATCATTCAAGTCTCAAACATCAAGTTCTAGGAGGATAAAGACAGGAAGTAGCTTCTGTTTCTAAAGGGACAAAACTCAAAGGCACGAACACAGAGGAGGATAAATGAGGAGCTAAAGGGAGCCATCAGCAGCTGGAAACCACACGGCGACTAGTTTACCGACTCGGTCAGAGCTGGAAGAATATCTCGGCTTTTAATCCACGACAAGCAGCCAGAACGTCCCGATCACATCAGAGTGGAGCAGGAGGGCCAGGTGGAGAAGCAGGAGAACAGATCTAACTGGTGTGTGTGAGATCAACGGGCTTGTTCACTTCGTTCATCAGCAGAGCTACGAACCAAAGTGTCTTTAGGACCGACGTCAGGGTGAAGACCTGGGACTGGAGCCTCAGCGGGTTCTCTCTGATCCTCACGGCGGCGACCCGAAGGGCCACACCCAGCTACGACCCAAACACACACCCGCTTCTCAGCGAATCCCCTCACCGCGCCTGAAGTCCACGCCCCCTGTTCGTCCCGTTTCTGAATAAAGTTTAGTCAAACAACACTTGGATGACAGGGTGAGCTTTAGGAGCACACACCTGTTTGGTTTTATTCTGCAAAGGAAATAGAAATCATAAAGTGCCATCTGCAACGTTCTCCCTCAACCACACCTCTCCCAGGTGTGGGGAGGCCCGAAAACACCTGGACCCCGGTGGGCGGTGTCCCTGGAGTCCTCGTCTCTGCTGGACAGATTCACGGAGCTGCTGCTGACTTGGAGATGTCGGGGTTGTGAGTTGAAATCCAGTGAGGTTACTGGGCTTCAAAAGGAGCTCCGTCAGTGAGAATGTTAAACGGAGAAGAGGAAACGCTTCGCCGCAACATCAGCGACTCCTCCCAAAGGAACATTCCACCGATTTGAGCAAAGACAAATAAAAATTTCTCATGGGCGTGAGTTTCAGGTTAGAGAGCACGCCTCTTATACCCTGCTTCTGTTGTCCTGAACCCGAGCTGACCTGCTCTGGTTCAGGACAACAGAAGCGCGTCCGTGCTGACGGAGCGAAGCGTAAAGATGGAAGAGGTGTGTGTGTCTGAGAGTGTGTGCAGGCCAGGAGCTCCTCTGTCGGTGGACCTATGACACTCCGTTCACCAGTGCAGGAGCGTCCGGTTTGTCCTTCTTCATCCCTCGTTCTCTCACGGGTCTCTGGTGGTGATGGCGAGGCGGGCCGTCCGGGCTGACGCCACTCTGGGATGAGGAAGGCCCCGCTCCTCCTCCTCGCCCACCTGAGGAGTGCTGCACGCTCCGCTCGTTGTTTCCATCCACACGGATCTGTGGGGAGAGAGGAGACGCGTGAAGCGCGGTTTCGTCATGGCCCAGCGGAGAGGAGGTCTGTGTGGAAGGAGGTCAGCTGACTGATTTACGAGGTAAACTAACCAAAAACATCCCAAACAGGCAGGAGCTGACCCCTGATGCTGCTGTAGCTCAGAGTCACCGCACACATGATCACAACAGATGTTCTACATCGTGTCCCCACACACGTCGTCACGACAAAAGAACCAGCGTGGCATGTTGGGATTCTCTACTACTTCACGCTTCTGCAGAAAACGTGGACGCCGTGAAGCAAGTCGAGGAGTCTGGACGCTAATACAGCAGCTGTCACAAGTGTCGTGTTCTGGTTCGCCGACGTCAGTCTGGTGAGGCGCGTCTGCAGTCCTGGACGTATTTTCACACAAAACCTAAATAACTTTTGTCCCCGTTCAACAATAAGCACCTTGTTGGACATTCACGGACATCATGTGCCAAATCCACAGCACGCTGCCAACAGGACTACACTGCAGCGTGAGCTGCATTCACTTTTTCTTACTTAGATAACCCACGGTCCAGGAGTAGATGATGTGACCTAGGCTCCCTAAAGCCGTGACCCCAACCTGACACCATGACATCACCAACATCTGCTACCGCCACCACAGATCTTCTGGTACTGAGAGGGCCATAACCAGAGCAGCTCTCATCTTCCAAATGGTCCAACTCTGGTGGCTGGTCTGTGCTTACTTAAGCAGTCCAGGTTTCTCATTAGAAACTCGTAAATCTGAAGCATTTCTCAGAGGTTTAGTCTGCGTGCTTTAGCTTTAACGTCCCATTCACGCAGCACACACGTTCGGTTTTACTCACATACAGCACAGGTTTGGACGCACCTTCCCGTTCAGTGTGTTTTCTTATTTTCACGACCATGACCATTTACGAAGGGGCCGACAAGAGCTAAACAGCTCTGGGAACTCCTTCAAGACTGTTGGAAACCATGTCAGGTGACTTCCTCTTGAAGCGCATCGAGAGAATACCAAGAGTGTACGACGCAGTAATCAGAGCAAAGGGTGGCTAATTGGAAGAAAACAGAATATAAAACATGTTTTCAGTTATTTCGCCTTTTTTGGTTAAGCACATAACTCCTCATGTGTTCATTCATAGTTCTGATGCCTTCAGTGAGAATCTACCCACGTAAATGGTCGTGAGAATAGAGAAAACACATTGAATGCGAAGGTGTGTGCACAGCTTTGGCCTGTGCTGTAGGTTATGGTCGCCAGCCTGGCCTCTTCAGCTCCAGGGGCCAGGATCATCCAGCCCCTCCGTGTTTCTCAACGTCAAGTGCGCCTGGCCTCACAAGGCGATGTCTTGCGAGGCCAGGCGCCTTGCTTACGAGGACACCGGTCCTTCTTGGCCAAAGAAAACGGTCAAATAGAACAGACTTACATCGTCACGACCACGGCTCCCACGGCAGTCACGTAACGACACGGGAGATAACGTTATATTTTATACGTATTAGTTTCAATATAAATAAACAACGAGCCTTTTACTTTTTAAATTGTGTATATGTTTATTCAATTAAATATGTTAAGCGATTACTACCCGCTAGCCACCGAAGCTGAGACTGCTAACCAACTAACCAAACATAGATAACTTCTTTGGATCAAAAAAAATTTCAGATATCAACCCAATAGCTAATATTAGCGGTCTTACTTTTAAACTTGAAAATTGTCCCAGAAGTAGCTGCCGCTTCTGATCCGCCGTCCTTTTGATTATACCGCGGTGTATTCTGGGTAGTTTTTGACCAAGGCTAGGCTACAAGACACCTCCCGTGTATCCTCGCTCAGCTAGCTAAACGGCTAACAAATGGAGAACACACGACTCGGTAGAACATGAACATTGGAACACGTCTTGGCGGCTCCTGATGACGTATCTCCTAGGCAACCGTGGGCGGGGCCAAGACATCAAGGCGAGGATCCATGCATTGAGGAAACGCCCCCTGTGATGAGTCCCAGACCCCCCCCCCCCCCCCCCCCCACCCCCCCTCGCCAGGCTGCTAATGAGCACAGCTGAGCTGAATCCATCTACAGATCCACATCTTATCCACAGCCGTCTCGGGGTTCTGCTGTTCTCCCGGCCTCACCTTCGCTTTTAAACCCCTTTTGTGTGTTTCGGAGGATCTGGGTGATTTTTGTGGTTTTGGTTTTAATGTTAACATCGTAGTTTTGGGTTTTAAAAACACTGTTTTTGTAGTGATGTCGGTTTTATTATCAACTGTGTGAGTTTTAAAAATGAGTGATGATGAGCTGAAGCTTCCCATCCAACTGGCCGACTCTTGATTCGAGGCGCCGTGATGATTCATTTGCTCCATTTCAAGTAAAACTGTAAACCTGAAAGAATAAATGCTAACGATGGCAAAATATTCCTAACATTTTCTGAAACGATCCTTTGAATATCCTGTCTGGTCCAAAAGAGAAAGGACACTAACAGAACGTGGGGTTTCCACAGCAACCGGCGAGCCAGTTCCTGAACCGGTCACGTAGTCCGGACTGCCGACGAGGCCTCGAACGTCGCGTAATCAACACAAGCCTCGATACGCGCGTCACAAAAAAATCTCCCTGGATACACGACACGCTTCGAAGCGTCGACACGTCACTGTTAAAAATGCCTTCTAGTTTGGTCAAACACAGTTTTAACCGTGTGTTTTTAACGTAGATAACCGCTCCTTTAAATCCTTGTAGACGCGTTTTCGTTTGGCACTACTTTAATAACGCTCTCCATCTGGTTGCCCACTCCTGTTTTTAACCTTTTAGAACAATTAAACCCGTTTTAAATCCACTGTCATGTTTCTGATGCACCCCCGCCCTCCTTCCCACGGGGGTCGTAACAACACACATTCCAGTACGGCCGTAACGTGTGACGTATGTCCACGTGTGCGTTTAGATGGTGCTGCTGAGTCGTTATGTCGTAGCGGACTAACAGCTAGCTGGTGTCACCTGTAAGGTGTCCTCCTGGGCTCTTGTTTTAGGGTCTCTGATGTGACGAGGTCTTGGCTCGCTCCACTGCACATCTTCACCTAACCGGTGCAAAAACATGTATTATTATGGCGCAGTGGGACTTCAAAAGGCTGTCATGTGGGTCCAACCTTAAAGGAGGACTTCATAGGTGAGCAGCACGTGCAAATAAAGCAGAATGTCACTAATGACCACCGTCATGGGGAACTGTTGGGATTTTATGAATTACAAACAACAAATCCCAACTCCCTACAGACGGTCTGAACAGGATTTTAGACCATCTGCTGAGTTCCTACTAACCTTTATAACCTCCCCCTGCTCTCCCTCTCCCACCGCGTCCCCTCAGACCTCCTCCGCCTCCCGCTCTCTTCCTCCCATCGGTCCGCCGGGGCAGGGTCCCGCCTCCTGTCATCAGCTCCTCTGTGGGCGCCAGGGACCAATCACTGAGCTCCTCTCTGTGGTCCGACTCGGTCTCTGAAGCGTTGGATGCTTCTGAGTTGGTGCCTGATGGATCAAACCCCAAACATCAAGCCTTACTTTGATTCGTCGTAGGAACATTGTGGGATTTTGATGACCAGATCAGGATGCCGTTTGATTATCAAACCTGAGGTGAACGCCGCTCCTCCCCCTCGCCGTCCTCGTCCACCTCTACCTCCAGCGTAGGGCTTCCCTGCTCCTCGGCCCATCCCCATGTTGTTATCAAACACGTAGGCTTTGTCTTTAGGGTTTCGGGGTCCGGGCCCCCCGCCTCCACTCCCACCTCCTATCTGCCTCAGCTGCTCGTCAATCTGAAGACGCTCCAGATGCAGCTGGTCCACCTCCTGATGACGCGTGAAAACATCAGAATATTTAAGTTCCCGCTCAGAGAGGGGGGGGGGGGGGGGGGCAGGAACCCGGTCTGTTACTCATCTCAGCTGCTTCAGTACAGAACTGGCAGCATGTGAACTAAACTGGTTTGTTTTAGAGCACCAAAGGAAACAATACATAAACAACGATTAATTATACAACAGTGATTCAGCTAGACTGCGATGGACTGGCTCTCTGTCCAGGGTGTACCCCGCCTGACTGCCCGTTGACCGCTGGGGATGGGCACCAGCCCCCCCGCGACCCTACGTGGACAAAGCGGGTTCGGACCACGGATGGATGGATGGATGATTCAGCTAGAAAAGCACAACTGTTCCTAAGTCAGTGCTGCTTTCCAAACCCCGACGAACCTCAAAACAGCACCGATCACAATTTCCCGATCACATCATTTTCTGTAAAATCGGGCAAGAATGATTGGAGCATCCCTGCTTTACATGAGGGATGGGCCATTCGGCCTAAAACCTTCATTCCCATATAATATGAAGCACGTGCAGCAACAAATGACCAAATGCAACGCTCCGTCAGCTCAAGCACCCGGGGACAACCCTGGATGTGTAGAACGGTGACGTAACGACTGCGTTCGGTTGATGAGAAAACAAGCGGTCGATCAGCTGATTTCACTTCGAAGATCTTTTCCAAAGGGTCAAAAGACATCAACAAACACGTGAAACATCTAAAACGAGTGGCTGCTTCTTCTGTCAGCTAACATGCATTCCTCTGTGGATCCCTAGACCTTTTATTTGCTACAGAGGATGAGCTTTGGTGTCATAAATCTGCAACACAAACCTTCAGGTAGTTGAGGTGGTAGTCCAGCAGAACGGTTGCATTAGAAATGCTCTCCTTGGTCCCCACAAACACAAACGGCACCATTCCCTGTAGAACCAAACACGTGTGACTCAGTAAAACCAGCCGTCTTTCAGGGATTTTGTTTTACCGGCTCTCTTTAATCCTCACTGACCTCATCTGTTGCTGCTGCCGCCGCCGCCGCCGGGCTCTTTTTATCATTCTCTGGCTCGATCCGAACCCGGACCACACCGGACTTATCGACCACCTCCTGTATCAGTTTTCCATTCTTGCCGATCACCTTCCCTACAGGCGTGTAACGGTCGCAGCGGTCATAATCTGATGGGAGTCTAAACTTGGACTCCAGCAAAATGAAGCCGATGAACAGAACCATGGTCTCAGTTTTCTCACCTACTAAGTTCCGGGGAACTTTGATGACATCTTCGGAAAACTCAAGGTAACTCCTAGCTATACGCACCGCATCCTGGTCCTGGGAAACAACAAAAACAGGCTAGATGAGTCCTCGTGTTCACACTGTGCAGCGGCAGAGAAGCAGTCACCCACCTCTCCGTATATGTGGAAGGTGCAGGTCTCTTCATCCAGGTCTATGTTGGTGACTCCAGGAACTTTTCGGGCTTGCTGGATGTTGGCCCCATGAGTACCGATGGCCAGGCCCATTAAATCGTCTCGAACTACAAACTGTTCATGGAAACGCGACGCTAGCTGTCTGGAACTCTACGCACCAGGAACAAGAGAGCAGCATGAAAGCCACATCAGAGCCAAAGGGAATTCTGGGATTGAAGTGTGTGTACCTCCAGCTGCCTGCTGGCCTCCTCGTTGCGCAGCATGAGCGACAGTTTGGTGCGGAGGCTCCTGAAGTGCATGTCGCTCATCATGTTTGGCTCGCTTCGTCGTCACCTCGTTAACTGACTGCAATTTCAAATTAAGTCGACATCGGTCAAACAGATCTCACAAAGGATGGAGACACGTACACCCACCCGCCACTTTATTATGCCTGCTCAGCTGCTAGTTAACACAAACATCTAATCAGCCAATCCCACGACTGCAGCTTAACACCTGAAGGCATCTGGACCACCTACTGAAGTTGACGTGATGGTTAGAACCAGACGTGCTCAGAAACATTTGGGTGTGGTGGAACGGGGATGCATGCCCATCATGGACGTGTGTGATGTTGTCATGTTGGTATGGACCAGAAGGTTTTCTACACCTTGTTGAAATAAAGACTCAACTTCCTGCTGAATGTGGAAGCAGGTCCATTGTGGTACCAGCAAAACTTACTCAATAAAGAGGTTGGTGGGTGTATTTTTACTGGTGTGATGTTTAAAGCCATGAAGACACGGCCCTAACGTACGGAACTAGGATTGGGACATTACACGTAACTTGTAACAAGCTTTGTAACCTGTAACATGTTTTGTAACTGTAACTTTCATTTTGCAGCATGTAATTCTCGTTTTGTAACAAGTAACATTTATTTTGTAACCTGTAACATGTTTTGTAACTGTAACTTTCATTTTGCAGCATGTAATTCTCGTTTTGTAACAAGTAACATTTGTTTTATAACAAGTAACATTTGTTTTGTAACAAGTAACATTTGTTTTGTAACAAGTAACATTTATTTTGTAACAAGTAACATTTGTTTTGTAACAAGTAACATTTATTTTGTAACCTGTAACATGTTTTGTAACTGTAACTTTGATTTTGCAGCATGTAATTCTCGTTTTGTAACAAGTAACATTTGTTTTGTAACAAGTAACATTTGTTTTGTAACAAGTAACATTTGTTTTGTAACAAGTAACATTTATTTTGTAACAAGTAACATTTGTTTTGTAACAAGTAACATTTGTTTTGTAACAAGTAACATTTGTTTTGTAACAAGTAACATTTGTTTTGTAACAAGTAACATTTGTTTTGTAACAAGTAACATTTGTTTTGTAACAAGTAACATTTGTTTTGTAACAAGTAACATTTATTTTGTAACCTGTAACATGTTTTGTAACTGTAACTTTGATTTTGCAGCATGTAATTCTCTGTTTTGTAACAAGTAACATTTGTTTTGTAACAAGTAACATTTGTTTTGTAACAAGTAACATTTGTTTTGTAACAAGTAACATTTGTTTTGTAACAAGTAACATTTATTTTGTAACAAGTAACATTTGTTTTGTAACAAGTAACATTTGTTTTGTAACAAGTAACATTTGTTTTGTAACAAGTAACATTTATTTTGTAACAAGTAACATTTGTTTTGTAACAAGTAACATTTGTTTTGTAACAAGTAACAATTATTTTGTAACCTGTAACATGTTTTGTAACTGTAACTTTGATTTTGCAGCATGTAATTCTCGTTTTGTAACAAGTAACATTTGTTTTGTAACAAGTAACATTTGTTTTGTAACAAGTAACATTTGTTTTGTAACAAGTAACATTTGTTTTGTAACAAGTAACATTTATTTTGTAACAAGTAACATTTGTTTTGTAACAAGTAACATTTGTTTTGTAACAAGTAACAATTATTTTGTAACCTGTAACATGTTTTGTAACTGTAACTTTGATTTTGCAGCATGTAATTCTCGTTTTGTAACAAGTAACATTTATTTTGTAACAAGTAACATTTATTTTGTAACAAGTAACATTTGTTTTGTAACAAGTAACATTTGTTTTGTAACACGAAAATTTGACATGTAACATGAAACCTTCATTGTGTAACTTGCAGAAAACAATCAATGTACAAGTTTCTAATCACAACTCTCAAATCACACATATCAGTCCACAGTTACAAAACTCAGGTCTACAAGTACATAACATTTTGTCCCAATTCTAGCTTCCTTCCCAAAGAACAAGTGACAGGTTTTGTCTGACCAGCCAATCATGTGTCTTGCATTCCTGTTCAAGACAATTCCTGTTGGAAGGAAGCTAGAATTGGGACAAAATGTTTTGTCCTTGTAGACTTGAGTTTTGTAACTGTGGACTGAGATGTGTGTTTCGAAAGTTGAGATTTGAAACTTGTACTTTGATTTTTTTTTCTGCAAGTTACTAAATAAAAGTTTCATGTTATGTACCAAAGTTACAAGTTACAAAATGAGAACTACATGCTACAACACTAATTTACCTGTTAGTAAAATAAAAGTTATGTGAATCCAGGGTTTCCCCCAGAAAATGAGTGGAGCATGTCGGCTTCTGCCGTCGGGGGGGGGGGGGGGGGGGGGGGGGGGGGGGGGGGGGGGGTTGCGCGCTCCATCCAGCAGCGCTCCTCTGTGAGAGCGAGGGTGGGGGGGTTGCACATGTTCCGCTGCTGTTTCTCACCAGTATCAGCTGATGGAGGGCTCTAGTTTCGCTGTGCCGTTCGTGTCAGCCGACACGGTAGGGTTGGGGAGGGGGCATGACGCTTAGCCTGGCGGGTGGGCAAGCAAAGCCTGGTGGGCCGCCAGACTTTGCTTATAAAGCACTGGGGGAAACCCTGGAATTACATGCTACAAAAGTCACAGTTACGAAATATGTCACAAGTTACAAAACTTGGTACAAGTTAAATGAATTATTGTCCCAATCCTTGTTCCATACTAATGGGCTTGTAAAGAGAAAACACAACAAAACAGCCTGACGAACCAAAATGACCAGCTGCTTCTTCTCCGAGTCAAAGGTGACGCCGAACGCTCCGATGGCCTTTTTAAAGTCTTTGTGCGCCGACTCCTTGGAGCACCTGGCAGCACAGAGTAAACACATGAACTCCTGGTTGAAGCCAAGCAGCTTCGGGAACACGTTCACACTTACATCTGCCGTAGATCTTCAGGAACATCCAGCCTGATCTTTATGAAGGTGGTTTTGGTGGCGGGTTTGTTTGGGTTGACCGGCCGTAACCGCTCCAGAGTCACTATCTCGTTTAAGGTGGCGTCGCATGCTGCATACTCTATGACGTAAAACTGGAAACACAAAGGTCTCGTTACCGTGATCCAACAAGAGCAGCCAGAGAGCAGGACTTAAATACACAGAGAACACAGGAAGTATGGTGGGAAAACGCAGGCAGAGCCAGGGAGTTGTTTTTCTATGATCAGTTTAGAAAATGCAAGCAGAAAAAAAAGCAGTGGCTCCTTGTTTCTTTAGCATAAAATGTTTTATTGTTTGACTTTATTTATTGTACTGTGGGTCAGCAGCCGTTTCAGAAATAATCAGGACATTGGTACTTAGGACCAGCATGGTTTAAAACAAAGCCATAACCAGTCAAAAAATCAGCGGGTAATAATATTTTTTAGCTTAAATCACTTTTTAATCTGATTTAATTTCTATTAAAAGCACCTCCAGTCTGGACTGTCTGCATCGGCAGATTTGGGAGTTAGGGGTCACTCGGTTCCGTCTAAACTACTGTTTCATGCAGTAGGTGGCACAGCGGGTAGCTCTGTCGTCTCACAACAAAAGGGTTGCCGGTTTAAAACCCAGGTGAAGCCTTTCAGTGCAGAGTTAGCATGTTCTCCCCATGTGGGTGGGGCTGGTTTACCCCCACAAGCTAAAGACATCCATGGTAGGCTAGTTCACTGCACTGCTGTCTCCACATTTATAGTTGCTTGAGATCAAAGTGTCTGCTCCTAATCGTTATGGACAGGGGTCCGTGTACATGACGGCCACCCGATCTTCCTTTGGAAATTAAAAACAATTAAAAAAAGGGAAACGAGCCGTTTTGCCGATCACCAATCAAAAAATGAAAGAATGTAAACAGAAGTCAACTCGTTTTTTGTTTTTCTATTTTCAACATAAAAAAGGAAAACAAACTTTTTTTGTTTTTCGACGGTGTATTTCAAGATGAAACGTTTAAATCAGAAAATAAGGGGAAATAGTTCATTTTCTGCCTTAAATTTACCTTTTTTGCAGTGACCCGGAAGTTTACCTGCAAAAACACAAGCGAAGAACAAAATCGGAAGCTTACTGCAAAAACACGAGAAGGAGAAACAATTGCGTTAGCGAAAGACAACGGTTTTCAAGCGTGTGGATAAATGAAATCGGGATTAATCCACAACTTTTACAATAAAGGCGTTGCACGAGTTTGCTGATTTTATCAGAGCAAAAAGGATAACTGGAATGTCGTGTGGCGACTTCGCTGCTGCTTTACGCCATGAGTTTGGGTACGGCACGGCGGGGATTTTCTGAGAGAAATGTGAGGAGGTGGTGCACTGAACAAAGACTTGTTAAGGAATTTTGTCCTGCCAACCGCCTGGAAATTGAAATAGCGCACTTCTTCGCTTATGTTTTTGCAGGTAAACTTCCGGGTCACAGAGAAAAAGGTAAATTTAAGGCAGAAAATGAACTATTTCCCCTTATTTTCTGATTTAAACGTTTCATCTTGAAATACACTATCAAAAAAACAAAAAGTTTGTTTTCCGTTTTCCTTTTTTATGCTGAAAATAGAAAAACAAGTTGACTTCCATTTACATTCTTCCGTGTTTTGATTGGTGATCGGTAAAACGGCTAGTTCCCGGACCGACAGGGTTAGGGTTTCTAGATGAAACTGTGGGGTGGGGGGTGTCGAGTTTGGTAGCAGCAAGATTTTGCGGCTGGTGTGATCCTCTTAGATCCACCTACCCTCTGATCTTGGGTGAAGCAACTGGGATGAAGATCAACACCTCCAAAGCCACGGTCATGGTTCTTGATCAGAAAAGGGTGGGTCGTGGCAGAGGCCCTACCTCGTGCGGAGGAGTTTAAGTATCTTATGGTCTTGTTCACAAGTGAGAAAGCAGGAGACCAACAGGTGGACGGAGGCATCACTGCAGACACTCAACTGGTCTGTTGTGGTGAAAAGGGAGCTAAACCAGTCAGCGGTGCGGGTGTGTGGACGAGCGAGGGATAAAGTGGATCTATCTGGCATTCATAAACGTGTTTCTGTTTTCCTTGTATAGCAGAGCATTTATACGCCTGGAAGTAGAGGTGTGACTTCATTTCTACAAGTCGGTCCTACGCTCTAGACCCGTACTGCTGCCGAGCCTTAGAACAGGAAGTAAGCTGAGAGCCTCACCTCTCCTTTCACCATGCGGACCTTTGCCAGCCACCATCCACACGGCTCTTTGTCGTTAGCCCTGGAGTATACCTGGAAAGCACACAAAGCCAGTGAACCAACAAAAGCTTTCAGCTCTACTAAAACGTCTGACGGCGTTTAAAACTTCCAGCAAAAACATGAGTCAGGAACAAAGCTACGTCACACCGACATGTCAGCTGTTTTATTAACTCACTGTTTCCCCTAGGAATTTTTCCAGCTGTGGCGGGGGGGGATTATGCCACCTCTCTAAATAAAGTACAATTTTCCAGTGCAGATTGGAGACAACCCATAGAAGCACTGATTTGATCTCATTTCAGAGAAAAATAGAACAGGTTAGATGTACCTAATAAATAAAATTACTAACAAACTCAGGAATGTTTCTTTGCTTCACTGTTCTGGTGCTGAAAACATCACTAATGCGGATCAAAGGAGATACACGGATGAATGCACGTCTTATTTATTATTTGAGAATTACATTTAGACAGAGATTGTTTCTATCGATACACGAGTTTACAGAATCATTTTAAATGTTAATAGGGGAAGACTGCAGGAGGGAGCGGTAAAATACAGGGGGTCCCCAGCAAAAACAAGAAACCTTACGAGTCTGATGAAACCCGCTGGTTTTCCATCAGGCAGTCACGGGGCAGCTCCAACGACCCAGTGGCTGTGCTGGGTCAGTTATCGAGCTCAGTCCGGTACCGGCTCAGCCGTGAACGAGCCGAGGCGACGTCGTGCTCTGCTTAAGAAGAAGCGTTATTTTCCCGCTTCAGAAGAAGCGTCCAACGTGTTTTTACGCGTTCTCCGAGACATGTCACGTCGCTAATGTAGACATGTAGCGCTGCGCGCTAACACTTAGTGCAGCATAGCCTGCTGGAGGTTTTAAGGGTTCGGATGAAACACCCGACCTCTCAGGCTGCTCACACATCGATCTTAAGTTGTCGCTGTTGCGCTCACGCCGTAATACAGTATTAGATGTGGTTAAAGTCAGACATGAAGAAATAAATACATTTTACATGAATAAGTGATGATTAGCCTGGTGGGGGAGGAGAACCTGGCCTAATAAGCACTGGAGGAAACCCTGTCAAGATCGTCAACACTCGTTTAACATCTTAATGCTGCTGAAACATGTAAACGTAAAAGCGTTATATCCACTGCTACCTTTCTAATTTTAAACTCAGTAACTTATGCTGTAACTTCACCTTGCCCTGCCTGCTCCTTTCTTCTTGCTGCTCGCCGGCTGTGATCACAAGCGACAACAACATAGTAGTTCCCGCTGCTTCTTCGGGAAACAGTGCAAAAATAAATAAATAAATAAATAAAGCTTGGGATCTTGTAGCCGTGGCGGGCCGCCACGGCTACGCCTATGTAAGGGAAACCCTGTAACTACATAAAAAGGATCAAAGCAGTAACAGGAAGTGAGCTGATGCCATTTGTTGGAGAGCCCTGGCAACGACAGATACCGGCGTTGCGTGTCTCCATACCAACGCAGACGTATACATTAGGCCTTGAGGAATATTTGTAATCACACTTTAAAAGAATTATTTCAGCTATAATTGACAAGGTCCTTGTTTTTTAACGCTTTAGTGCGGTTCAGGGTTGACACATCTGAATACTCTGCTTTTGTGCCGACACATTTATGCTATATTAGGCATGTCCCGATACAACTTTTTCACTTCTGATACGATACCAATATTGCAGCCTTTCAGTATTACATCAGAGAGTTTTGATGCAGTCTGATATAATCCGATAGTGTTTTTGGGCTGATATCGAATTACTTCCGATATCGATATCGGAATGGGACATCCCTCTGCTATATTAATTATTATGATTACAATTAAAATGGAAAGGCTGAACTGCTGGAACAGTTTGTTCTGTGGGTTGGAGGTGAAAACTCTAAACCAGAGTTTTAGTGTTTTTGCCACCTAAAACATGCTTGTCCTTCTAGTTCCTGCCCTTTGGATGAATACCTGAACCTGCTTGTCCCTGAGGTTTGAACCCTTCTCACCTCCACTTCGTCGCTTTCGTTGATCTCTTTGCTGAAGCCCGCTGGAGGAGGGAAGCGGACATCCTGGAATGGGATCTGACGTTCCGGCTGCCAACTGGATCGGACAAACACAAACATTATTTAATCCTACTATTATTGCGTCAGATGTATTACTATAAAGCTTTACTGTCGTGTGTAAACATTATATTACTCACTTGTTTTCAAAAGCCACGGTGACAGATCCCTCGTGGACATCTTTGATAAAAGCCTACAAAAACCACAGAAATGAACAGAAATGTTCAACAAAGGGGGTGAGTGGCCACACCTCCACAGTGACGAACGAGGAGGTAGATGGATAACCAGCCCTACACGGTATCCAAGTATGTAATAAGAGCTAAATGATCACGATTCAGCTACATGCTTCCCAAACTGACAACAGCATGTAGCTGAAACACATATTAAAATGTGAAGCTGCAAGTTGTAGAATGAAGTAAATGACATCTTGTGGTCAAATTTGATTACAGCAATCTGTAACGTCCAGCGATGGTCAGTTTTAGGTACAGTCTGACCTTTCAACATCTATTCAACACCTGGTCAGAAAGGAGACACAACACTGCATGTGTTCCCTTTAAACGAGCCTGCCTTCATACCAGCTGGGGCTCACAGACTCTGCAGCTCTGAAAGATAAACAATAACTTTCTTTCCCAAGGTCCCATCTGGCTGCCTCCACAGAAGGAACAACTCCAGCTCGAATGAGTTGCTAAATTCAAGAATGATTTACTAAATCAATATGAACTTCTTCCATGACTTATAATCTAGATAATCATTAAATAAACATTTGTTTATTACTACTTACAATAATTATAGTATAATGAAATGCTTCATTAATCTGTGCTCACTGAATGGATGTTATGTTATGTTTATGTCTACTAGAACCCGCCATGTGTTCAACATGTTTTGACGACGAGGTCCTCACGCCTGCACTCACAATAACAAGTACGGTTAAGTTAAACTCCAACACACAGAGACTTTTAAACCAGTCAGAACGTCCCGTATCAAGAAGGCATGTTTCTGAGTTGTCTTGGTAACATCTCTCAAACCTGTCAGCCTTTGATTGGCTGTGCAAATCATAACATCAAAACCTTAAAACTGGATCATCCTGAGTGATTCGAGGGTTCTGGAGAATCGCTTCAGACCGGCCACCTGTAGTAAACATCTTTAGCCATCAAAGATTTTGACACGTCGTCAAAACCTTTTTGCACCTGCGAAGCTGATGAGCAAACAGCTCCTGCAGAAACAAAGCTGATACTGTGAGACTCCTTAAGAGTCTGCCAGACGCACGGTTCCATCCAGCTGTTATGACCCGAGACATCTCTGGACTGAAGAGTCGGTACCACGGTATTCTACAACCCTCCGGTGCCAAAGATCAGCCGACCCCTGCGACTTTCGGATCCACCAAGAGGGTCTCTCAAAAATGGGTGAAGTAGACATGATAGATTGCGTCTGATGTTCTTCTGATGAGAAGAACTTTATAGCTTAGAGCAAACCAAATTCTGTTCACCAGAACTCAGCTTACTTTGATAAGGAAGCTCTGACTGACATCGCATTCACACATTGGTTCTTTCATCACGTTTAGTTACATTCACTCACAGTAAATGCTTAGTTAATTAGTCATGTTCTAATTGTTTGCTAAATAAATTCTTACGTTTATAAACCTGACTCTTTCTTGAAGTAACACGAAGTGTGGTTGATCACTGAAAAAGCAAAGAACCTAGATCTTCTGAATTAAAACCTAGAATCTTCAGTTACAATATAGACCTAGCAGGTTAATATTTATATTTACATAGAATATTACATCTTCCTGGTCATAACAAATAAAAATCATCGATTTGCCTCCGCTACATTTAATGGTGAGCCAGCCAGTCGTATCAATTTACACTTCGTGGTAATTCTCTCATCCATTAAAAGCTGAGCTGTGCACCTCCTCATTTTTCCTCTCCCAAGCTGACGGCAAGGGAAGGTTTTATTTTGAAGAGTGCCTCTTCGTAACTTCCTCTCCGGAGGGGACGAAGTGACAAACTATTTGGTTACCAAGTCAGTATCATCAAGCGTTTGCTTTCAACTACTGTAAACTCCTAGACGTAAGAGTGTCATTTTATAACATTTGTGTGTTCATCTGAATGTGTTTTGTCACTGTTGTAGGCTTGTGTTACATGGACAGGAAACGCTGATCCACTTAGCACCGAAGCCATCTCTGATTTAGCACCAGAGCTAATCAATCCATATCAGTTTCAGATTTAAAATAATGTATTGATGTAAACAGCATCCACTAATTTCCAAATAATAAGGTGCATTCATCTGTGTTTCTCCTTTGATCCGCATTAGTGATGTTTTCAGCACCAGAACAATGAAGCAAAGAAACAGACTCCTGAGTTTGTTAGTAATTTTATTTATTAGGTGCATCTGACCTGTTCCATTTTTCTCTGAAATGAGATCAAATCAGTGCTTCTATGGGTCATCTCCTCTTTGCACTAGAAAAGTTTGCTTTATTATAATGTTCACTGCAATGCATCTTGATGTTCTTAACAATTAAATCAAAGATATTGGTCATTAATGCCAAATATGTAAATTTGTGTTTCAGTCATTTTTATACTGCTTAAAAATACTTCATTAAGTCTACTAAGCAGGGATGTAGAGGGTTTTTAACAGGGCCAGCCCAGTAATGATCTTGGACCAGAATACAGGGGGCAGAAAGTCAAATAAAGGGGGGGCAGAAGGAGATGTTTTTCCAGACGCCAAGAAAAATTAAATGCCAAATCCCCCTGCAAAGTGTGTCACTGAGACAGGGCCGCTGCTAGGCTTTTGGAGACCCTAAGCTTGATTGGCCAGGGATATTTACAAGCCTCAACACAGAAACTCAGACTCCAACTAATTCACCTGCCAGGCTGCCCAGGTAGCTAATAAAGACAAACTTACCAGCAAGGGATGTACGGGCGTCATCTGTTTTCTTTTCTCAGCTCCGGATTTGTGTTGTCTCATCATCGGCCCTTCAGCAGCACCGCGAGGTATCAAATAAAAACACTGCAGTGAAGCTAAACCTTTGGGCTGTACCGTTACTCTGCGGGCGCGAGGGGGGAGGGGGTAATGTTTGTAAATTATAAGAATACCTTTTTTGCCCGAATTTTGACTGACAGGCTACATAATTAAGAAAACGCTCAACGGTTCAAATGGTGGGCAACTAATTTGTATGTTTTCTGAGCAATATGCTACTGTAATAATAACTCAACTCTGCAATATTTTTTTTATTTTCTATTATCTATTGTCACCAAGTTTATTTATAAAGCACTTATAAAACAGCAAGGCAGCTGACCCAAATAGTGCCCAAAGCAATCAATGCACATAAAGAAAAGCACAGAAATACAAAGTATAGCTGTAAAAGTTAATCAAAACACTTAAAAGCAGTATACAAGATAAAGATAAAAAACCACTACTCAATCCCAAAAGTCCAACCAAAACATTGATAAAAGCCAGAAACCCAAGTTAACCAGATACCCACCAGCCACTTACCTAAGTTAGCAAACTAGCAACCTCCAAAAACTCGATTAAAAATAAGACAAGGGCTGGGAGCCCCAGAGTACCTCACCTGCCTAAAGCACATATGTCAGACTCAAGGCCCGCGGGCCAAATGCGGCCCGCGGAGCATTTTTATGTGGCCCGCGAGATAAATATCAAAAATATATTAAAACTGGCCCGCTGGCCGATTTTACCGCAAAGACTACAACTCCCATGATGCTTTGCGGCGCCAGCGCGGAGCCGACGCACCCCATCCTTTGTGTTTTTTCAGCGCCGAGGCAGTCAGAGGTAGTTGGGTGTCTGCAGCTCCGCTGTCTCGGACAAACTAAACACTCCTCTCACTCAGCGCCGAGTTCACTCAGCTGTTTTCTGACGTTGAAGCCCAGAAACGGAGATTCTAGCCGCTCAGTAATGTGTTCACGACTGAAAGAGAAAGTTTTCCAACTAACGTCCAGACAGAGCTGATATAACTCCAGCGAGCAGCGACACGCTCAAACCAGCACGACTCTGTGGTTGTGTTTCCTCCCCGACACACAACAACGTGGTCAAGCTGCTCAGACATGTTCATCAGCACAGACCTATGTGAGCACCTGTTGTCATCTAATGTTGTCATTATTATGATGAAGATGAACAAAACAACAGGAGTCTCCTCCTCAGCTCAGATCAACCCCATGATGCAGGTATCTGGCTGGAACAGGTGAGCATCACAGTAAACCAGTGGAGCAAACTGAGCTTTAAATATGTTGGTTTTCTGCTCTTTTTCTGCTCCAAAACATGAAAGTTAACAGGTGAGATGTTGCATTTTCATTTAAGATAAAATGATATTTTTATTTTGTTGTTGGCCCGTGAGCAAAGATTTAACCTACAGTAAACAGGAAGTGGAAAGGCTGCAGATAGATGAATAGAATAGAAAATCCCTTTATTGTTCCTCAGTGGGGAAAGCTAGACGTCACAGCAGCGATGACACGTATTACAGGAGAAAAAAGGAGAATAAAAAATAAGAAAAATGAATAAACAAGAAAACATAAATCCTGAATAGATTTAAAAATGCTGATTATACCACAAGTAATGAATACCACTGATGCCTTTTATTTAAAACGGACTTGCTCGTGTGTGATTTGGTTATTCCACATTCAGTGTTAATGCAGAAATAAGTTTGTTTCCAAATTTAAAGGTTCAAAATTGCATATATGTTGATACAGAAAACGTGCAAATTTGCGTCACTTTTTCAAAAAATATGAAGTTTGGCCCTCGACTCCGTCCCAGAGTTTCATTTCGGCCCCGTGTGAGTTTGAGTTTGACACCCCTGGCCTAAAGGAACAACTAGCAGTTTTGGCTGCTTTTAGCACCCCCTAGTGTCCGTTATTAATTCTCTGTGATCAAACTGAAAATGAAATCTGTCTCCTCGCTGTGCGTTTGTCTTTTTAACACCTTAATCTAATGGCTGAGTAATGCTTCTGCTTCTGTGTCAATGCGGAGACACTCAACGCCATCATCTGTTCTTGCGTAGGCCCCCCCGACAGGCACGTAAGTACGTATGGAGTCGAGCCCACTTTTCTTAACATCCGTTGAACGAGATGAAGAACAGGCGCTTGTGATTGGCCAGTCCAGAAACCTGAGATCACTTCAGTCATGACGGCATTTCCTTTAAATTTGTCAACAGTGCCAGAGTCGCGTGGGAAGTTGTGTGGTGTCTCCTTTTATGCTCTCGCTGGTATTTCAGCAAGATAAGCATTTCTTCATCTAGATTACACAGTTCCAACTCGATCAAACTACTCTTTCTCGTGTTGCTTGCCATTTTCAGACCGCAGAAGTGATTTCCAAGGAAATATTACGATGTCACTGTACTGCTACCTACATTACGCCCTCTGTTGTCCTGGCGGAGAATTGCTTTGCAACACCCCTTCAGCAAACGAGGACGTATGAGAGCAAAACGCTTCTGTCAATCCGTGCGTGTCTGTCCCTTGTGGAGCTGACGCAGGAGCATGACTGACCCCTTCTTTCCACCGGAGCCGTCAGCAGCGCGAGTCGGCCGCGTCTCAGGAGCAGCATGCCGCGGCCTTTACGCGCCGGTTCTATTTTCTACGCGCTACGCCTCTGAAACGGGTCAAGTTTAGAGCTGAAACAACTAATCGATTTAATCGATTATAATCGATTATTAAAATAGTTAACAACTTTTTTAGTCATCGATTAGTTGTTTAATAATCATATTTTACCGCATAAAGTCTATTTTTTACCACAATCTGACATCGGTTACAATCTGTTAAATTTGCCGCCAGTGTGTGGCAGTAATGAGCCACTGATCTACCAGTGGGGCCGTAGAAGAAGAAATTAGCCAATAAGTGCCCTCGGTTTTCATGACGTATCACGTTACTGATGCGCATCTTGCTGTGAGAGATGGCGGATCAACAACAAATACGGAAGAAAAATAGAAGCGACAAAACAAGAGAAACCCCGGACAAAAACCTCACGAGTATGGGAGCACTTCACTAGATGCCTTGAAAAGACCGGTGACCTACAAAATATGCAAAAACCATGGCACGACGGAAGCACGACGTCCCTAAGTGAACATTTGAGACGAAAACGTGGGGGCTGATGCAGCAGAGGAATGTCCGGTAAGTAACAGAAAATAAACAAGCTAACGCAGATCACATTTGGGACTTAGTGTTAGCCGAGTTTGTTATAGTGGATGTTAAACATGTTTTTTTTTTTGCCGCGTCAGTTTACGGTGTTCTACTTCTGATTGACTAGATGCAATCGTGAATCTCCTCCGTGTTGTGAATCATGCACTTGCCAAATTTAGCACGTCTGTTTATAAGAATGTTCTCGTTAAGAGAAAAACGGCACAAACCCATAACTGTGTTCCTCATTCAAAAAAGGACAACTCCGCGGAGAAAAATATACAGACGAGCTGTGTCCAGGTGAATATAACGCGGCATAGTTGTACGCTTTCAATTTTTAAATACAGGAGAAATTCAGAGTCATTTTTTTAACTATTAAAAGGCTGTTTTACTATCTAACGCTGTAAAACGCCTCACAACACATTTTTGTCAAAATAAATGATCACTGTATATTGTTAATTAATTCAAATAATGTAATATTGATTTAGTGTTGTAGTGTGTGTGCTGCTTTATTTTATATGTGTACTTAATTCAGTTTATTTGTGTTTCTTATGCAGAAAAAAACAAGCAACGATGGACAACTACATGGGGAACAAGACACTCACCCCCAGCAATTCATACCACTTACAAACTCTATTCCAGATTCTACATTATTTTTTATGGAATTTACCTCTTATATTTTGATGCCAAAAAATTATTCTGGACTGATATTTTGCACTGTTTAGCTCATTTTACACTGCTGACTGTGGTCATGTGCAATAAAATAGATTGCAGTCAACTGCACAATTCTCTTATGTTTTTCTTTTTCTTAACTGAAATGTATTCATCACTTGTATAGGTTAAATAGCTAAACAATAACAAACCGATTAATCGATTAATCGAAAAAATAATCGACAGATTAATCGATTATGAAAATAATCGTTAGTGGCAGCCCTAGTCAAGTTCGACATTTTTGGGGAAGGAAAGACAGGAAATCGGACGCAAAAACGGAGCGAAGCTTCCCGAGATTTTCAGAATAAAGAAATGTCCTGCCTTCCGGTTGCTTTACTCTAAAAAATAGTTACTAACTGTGCGGCCCCGTGAGAAGTTATCACCTAGCTAGCGGCCTCCTTTGTTTTTCAGGTCCGTATTGGATTATAAAACGGACAGAACATAAAACGCAAACCTTTTGGAGCCATGTTGTAATTTTCTCCTGCTTGTTGTTGTGTTTACTGACGAAGTCACCCGTGTGACTTCGAGCTCTGTCGGTGACAGCTGCTCCCCTGCTGCTTCGCGTCTCGTGGAAAGGGCCAAGCAGCAGCTTACGCGAGCAAGACGTGCTGCTGCAGTAACGTGCTGCTGACGGCTCCGGTGGAAAGAAGGGGTCAGGCTTAACAGCTGAAATGTTTCCGCAGCCTTCGTTAGTGTCTATAGGAGTGATTCGTCACCAAATTAAACAAAACAGCTGTGTTCATGATCTAAAACATGCAGGTAATGTGCTGGAAGCAGACTGCCACACCAGGCTTTATTTTCTAAGTCCCAGCAAGGGTAAAGGGTCATTTTAGCACATACTGGCTCAAGAAAATGATTTAAAAATATGAAAAAGTTGCAAAGTATGGCTTTAACAAGAGCTGCAGAGACATTCAAACTTCTCCAAGGCATTTTAAATCCAACAACATTTAATAAGTGAGATCATTTAGAGAATGAAACCTGCTAAACAGCTTGGCGGCAGAAGCATTTGTGTCCATTGTATGGTTTTGTTTTAAGGCAGCACCACACCCAGACCTTCTATAAAAAATTCGATCAAATTCTATAAAAGAGCTGGGTTTGACAAGACAAAAAGGCAAAAATGAAAGCTAAGTTCAATAATATGTCTCCTTACAACTAGAATTAAACTCAGCAAGATGAGTCCCATGTACCAACCTGGATGACTGTATTTACTAAATTCATCAGTCAGCCACACCACTTATTCATTTAGCTGGCACCTAGCTGATGTTCTTTAGTATTATGATTACTGTTTGATCCCACTACTCCAGTAGTAGAATATGTACTACTGTCCCCTATTCCACATTAAACGTGTTTATGAGCTACTGTTAGCTTTCTGTGTCAACGTGTTTGTACCATCACTGATTGACATAAGTCATGTAATAAATACAAACGTCTATATTTGGATATTAAAAACAAAACCTAATCAGACTTTATAGAAACAGCCGGTCCACTGAGGGAGGACAAATCTGAAAACCAGAGTTGGACGCTGATGTATTTATTTGGGACTTTCTTGGGTTGAATCGTGAACATTTGTGAGTGACCACTCCTCTCCATCACTGAACAGGAACACACCACAAACACATTTTAGCAATTGCAGGAAAACGCCAGCCCTGCAGTGGCATCCCGACTCGGTCACTAATTTCACTAAAAGCACTGAGATGGCAACGGTTTTGTTTTTGGATTTGTTTCCAGCCTCCGCATCCCGGATGGGGCTGAACACGCAGGCCCGTACACACACAAGATGCCCAGTAAACCTGGTTGTTAGTTAGGCTGCTGTTTGCACAGTGAGCGGTAGCAGAAAGCTCCACTTAACTCGCCCACTTACCTTATAAAAGGCTCCACTCGTCCCTCTCACTTCCACAACCAGCTCCTCCATGGCGCAACTTACTACAGCTCACTAGCTAGCTAGCTAACTACCGCTAGCGACGTTAGCAGCCAGCTAGCTGGCTGGCTAGCCTGACGCTAGCCAAGATCAGTTTTCAACCAAAGACCGCTTCCTGCGAGCTGCGTGCAAGAAGAGGTCGAGGTACCCGCGAACGTCGGTAATATTGATTCCCGTTTTGCACAGCGTCTTAATATTTCGTCCTGCTCCTTCCGAATGTGAAATTTAGACCGCTTGAAAAATCAAAGGCAACAGACTGTCCAGGTTAGCTTGTATTAGCCTGTTACGGTAATGTGTGATTAGTGTTGGTTTGTACAGCAAGCCGTTGTCACATTTAATCGTACCTAGATCTAAGTTGGTTTTGGACATGGACTTTAGCTGTGCTACACAACAATTTCTTACCTTGTAAGGATTAAAATTGTTGAGTAGGACAGACTATTTCGGCTGTAATAATTATTTTAATTGTTTTATAATAAAGTACATCAATCATTTTAAATTGGATTCGTATGTAGGCTATTTGTTATTACATACTTGCTCTTCATTGATCTGGTTATCGACGTCTAAATTTAGTCACAAAGTAATACTGAACATTCCATGTTTCCTCAAATATTTTTAGTTTTTCTTTAATTTTTGGATAGCCAACGTTATTTTAGATGTATATGGCTTTGTTTTGGAAATTTGTGATATCTAAAAAGTTGGTAGTGTTCATTTTTGACAAGGAAATAAAAATAATTATTTATACCGCTTCGAAGAGCCTACCTAGATATTATATGCTAAACTGTTTAGCCATAATTCTTCATCTGCGCGCTTCTGTTACGTCACGTCTTCGCTTTCTTCTTCTCACCTGAGAGTTTCTCTGCTCTCTGCGGGTAGTAGAAATATCTTAACTTTGACGTCATTTGGATTAATACAAAATTCCTAGTCTTTGTGCTTACGTGCATCAACCAACGTTTAAATTAGCATATTTAATAAATATACTGCCACAAAGGAAGTTGGCTTGCCATTTTGGGTAAAACTAAAGGATGTTTTAACAGCAAAGATCTTCATACTTTATATTGTACATTACTATTATCATACCCGACGTACTGTGCAACAGTCTGGGGGAATGCACACAAGACAAATTTACAACCAATTAACATTTTACATTTTAATTTTAATGCTGAAAAAGGGCTATTAGATTTATAAATCAAGCAGGATATAGAGCCCACACTCATTAACTCTTTATGAAGTCAGGATTAATGAAATTTCCAGATTTAGTTAGGTTTAAAACAGCTCAAACATTTTCAAAGCAAGACACAACCAATTTACACATAAAATAAACAACTGGAAGAAAGGGAAGGAGGAAGAGCTGTTGCCTTGGTGCAAGAAGGTCCTGGGTTCGATTCCCGGCCTGGGATCTTTCTGCATGGAGTTAGCATGTTCTCCCTGTGCATGCGTGGGTTCTCTCCGGGTTCTCCGGCTTCCTCCCACAGTCCAAAAACATGACTGTTAGGTTGATTGGTCTGTTTAAATTGTCCTTAGGTGTGTGTGTGTGTGTGTGTGTGTGTGTGTGTGTGTGTGTGTGTGTGTGTGTGTGTGTGTGTGTGTGTGTGTTACCCTGCGATGGACTGGCTCTCTGTCCAGGGTGTACCCTGCCTGATTGCCCATTGACCGCTGGAGATGGGCACTGACCCTACGTGGACAAAGCGGATTCAGACAATGGATGGATGGATGGATGGATGGATGGATGGATGGATGGATGGATGGAGTGAAAGTTAAACACATTTGAATCCTAATGTTTTGTTGGCTTTTGTAACCAACTCTGCACAGAGGTATTTATTTTATTAATTTTCAGTGTGCAGCCACATGCATTAAAACTGTCTGTTGTCTTTGGCTTAGGCTCCTAAATATCTTTTTCAAGTAGTGAAAACTCAATTTCCTTGGTTTTATTTTTAAATCAAAGTTAAATGAGCTTTACAGTAACTGTTTTAATGCCTAACCAGTCAGTGCAAACTAGATTTTTCCTTTTAAAAATTATTTTGTGCAAAGAATAGCAATGATAATAATAAAATAATAAAACACTATTTTCTGTGTTGTCCTTGTTCAAATAAAACAAGACGTCACCGGTCCCTCCGACCGCCATAAGCAGGCACGGATGGAGAAGTGTCTCGCTCAAGCAGCCTGGTTTAGAACCTGCAGCAACTCCAGGATGAATTCCTAACCCCCTGAGTTGCCACTGCTCATTTAAAATAGAAGAATCTTGGAGTCTCCCAAAGTTTTAACTTCAAAAAGAAAAGATACTTATAATTTACTTATACAGAACAAATTAAGTGTGTTATAAATATCCTGTTTTGGAAATTTGGTTACCAAGATAAATTCTAGAGGAGTGATTTAGTTCTTCATAGACCTGCAGCTCGTGCTGAGAACGTTTTATCCCAGCTGTGACTGTCTTTATTTGTGCAGCACAATATTACACCAAACTTGTGCTAAATGATTTTGTAATTGTTTGCTGGATCCTAGATCCGGTTTTGTCGCTGGCAACAGCCCGGGTTGAAAATGAATGCAAGTCAAGGGGCTGAAAGAGCCATTTTCTAATCTGCTTTGCCTTACGCCCTGAATCGCCCGTATGTTGTACTTCAATTTAAGTGAGAACTAATGATGTGTGTTTTGACCATGCCAGTCACGCACTTTGAGACTTATCAGCTTGTAAAAATTTGTAATTAACATCAGACGTTGGTACGTTGCGTATATGGCGTCACCACAGTATCTCCGAGAAGATCTAGCTGCAAAAATGGCGGGATTCATGGTGGTTTCCTCATGAAGGAAGGATTCAAGGTTCGTTAAACTCACAACCATTTTCCCTTTGCTTTTCTCCATGTCTGGTTCGATGATGACGGTGATGCGCATTTGTAGTCCTGGGCATATTTTCACCCAAAACCTAAAATAAGGGCATTGTTGGCATCAAAATAAATCTTTAAAATGTACAGGCATCATATGTGAAATCCGTGGCACGTAACAAATGGGATTAGAAAATAACGGATTTAGCCCTGTTGACTTGCATTCATTTTTTTGCTCTTCTGGGGTCTGGTCCAGAAGTAGATGGGCATGACTTAGGCTCCCTTTTGTGTGAGCAATGTGGCTTTTCCCACATGCATTCTATGTGAAAATATATGAAAATCTTGATTTTTTTTTACCTAAACTGACTGTAGAAAGAACAAACAATTTTGACCTACTTAAAATTTATAGAATGTCTCAATAGATCTGATAGAAAGCTGAAATGACCCAGATCATTACTAGGGATGCACCGATCAGGTTTTTTGCTGCCGATCACGATACCGATATCAAAGAATGCTGATCACCGATACCGATCACGATCACGTGGATTGGCCAGAAATTTTCTACAACATTATAATGAGTGCTACAAACTACATGATCTGGGAATAAAGGAAATGTAACCTAATCTAAAATGGTCTGTATTAGGGTTGTCACGGTGTGAAAATATAACCTCACGGTAATTGTGACCAAAATTACCACGGTTTTTGGTATTATTGTGGTATTTTTTTTAAACGTGCTACATTTTCACACAATTAAATAAACCCTGTATGTCAGGAAATATTGTCCTCAGTTTGTGTCTAAATTTTGCCTAAAATGTGTTATTTTGTAATTATGTTGTTTATTTATTTACATTTTTTCCCTTTAGTCTTTAAAATACCAATATTTGCCCATAACTTCTTATTTTGTGTCTGTTTGATGTCATCATTTAAAAATATTAGATCAGATGATACTCAGTACTCAAGTAGCCTTCTAATCAGATACTTTTTTACCCTTACTTGAGTAATAAACCCTATATCAGGAAAATATTGTCCTCGGTTTGTGTCCTTCCAGTGAGCTTTGCAGATGTGGGAAAATGTCATCAGGCAGTAATCGTTGTTAAATTCATAATTATTCTCGGAGAGAGACCAACTCTTATCGGCCCCTGGGAGCCCCGTAATGCATAGCGTCATTTCAACATGGCGGTGTCCGCGACACGGTTTATATGCAGGTAGCGGCGCTGCGGCTGCTTTATATAGCGACTCGTTGCATTCTCCCTCAACCCAAATCCTCGGATCACGCATTTTAGCTAAAACGCTAACGTTAGCTTGCCTTGCGTTGACTGTAGAGTTGTGGGTGATGGTCACGCAGATGTGTCATGAGATTTGAAGCGTTGCTGCCTTTCACAGACACTTTTTCTGCTCGTGCTGCAAACAGGATAGCCGTCTTCTATCAACTGTCCCTCGGCATTCTTCACATATCCAAAAGATGCCCGTACTTCCCACTTTGTCTTCTTTGAGGGATAATAAATGTCCTGAGCGCTGCCGTCTCCTCCTTTGGCCATTATTTCAGCTTTAGCTTCAAGAAAGTTTTGGTTGTAAACAACAAAGTGCGCATGTGCCGCCGGCAACTTCAGCAGATGATACGGTGGCTGGTAAGGGTCACGGGGCCTACACCGCAGCCACGGTAAACCCACCGAGATAATATAGTTTTTTTTTTAAAACAAGATGGTTATTATTATTATTGTCAACTTTTTTTTACCGGGGTTTACCGCTACACCGGTTACCGTGACAACCCTACCTGATCGGTCTGCTTTGATCTATTTTGAAAACTCCGATCAAAACCAGTAGGGGCGCTATCGGCCGATTGGGATCAAATGCCGATCCTTCGGTGCATCCCTAATCATTACCCCGAGATTACTCAAATTATTCTACTGATTCAAATTGCTGCATGCCGTGTGTGTGTGTATTGGAGCATATTACCTCTGTTTGCCTAAATGTGAAACTAGCAGTGTGTGTGGATTCATCTGTTAGTGTGATTTAATTCAGCTAAATGAGGCATTTGGGACTTCCTGTTGCTTTGAAGGTCATCAAAGAAACAAAAGGGACTCTGTGGGTTTTGGAGATAAGATCAATCAAAGCATGACAGTGTTCTGTTCACTGTTGTGATTCAATAAAGCTTATTTAGCTTCACATATTTCATTTGTTTGTTAGAAGAAATGAAAGGGTTCACTCATTGGCCATTTCTCAATACCCAAGTACACTAGTACATTCTTGTGTACTTGTCAGGTATGTTCTTGGCAAGTACAGCAAAAAGTCTGATTACACGAGGATGAGGTAGGCATTCGGAACAGAATGTACTCCGTTAAGTCATGGCAACAAGCGCTGCTTTATGCTATGGTTTAAAAAAAGAGCTGAAATTAAAATAAAAATCTAGTTTGTCCCATAAATAACAAAATAACTATAAATATATTTGATTTGTATATCATTTGGTCCATGTTTTATTAAAATTGATAAAATACCAGCATCAGTATTTCTGGTAACTGAAGACAAAAGGTTTCTTTTTTTTTTCAAAACAAAACTATTAAAGGCAACACTGCCTTTATTCTGATTGGGGGTTAGCTAATTAATTAGTGGTATCAGGAAGAGTTGGAAAAAAACACACTGCAAACTTTACAGGTTACACAATTAAATACAATGACAGACAACTGTACATTTATTCATTTAACTTTTACTATTTTTGATATAAAAACACGACAGTTATGAGCTTTCTCCTCTGCAACTTTCCATTTGGTGGATAACGGTTTGCGATGCGGTACATTATGGGATATCTTGCTGGCCCAAAGGGGGGTGAATCACGCATACGGGAAACCCCCACTGGCTGATTCTACTTGCCAACCGGAAGTCGGTAGGCATGAATGTCAACCGACAGATCAGTCCATAATGTCACCTTGGTCCCAGCCGGACCTCTGGGCAGGAGGTCTGAAAAACAGTCGCCTCAGAACGGAAAACTCACGTGTGACCCAAGTGTGAAACCAAATTCCAGTCCCGTACCTGACCGTACTGACTCCAATGTGCAAGCGCTATATTGGGTCTGTAAAAAGGAGGAGGGGGCGACTGATCAAAGATGGCGGCGCCACCACTGGTCAGTGCCAATGGGCCAAGTTTGCAGATGGATGCGCTGATACATCCTCGATGTAATGGGCAGAGCAAGAACACATCCGGGAACTTTGAGAGTGCTGGCCATGATACATACTTCATAATGGAACAGTACTTGGGCCAACGTTGATGACATTTTACTAACAATAGACAAGTTCAGATGAGTATGCGTCTTCAGAAACGGCCATTTACATACAATTAGACTTAAAGGCTCAGCTGCACCTAAAACCTTTGATGTGCCTTTTGTCTGTACCAGAGTCCAATAAAACACCTTGTAGCACTCTAAACTTCTCATCTTCTCCACATTCATAAACACTCATTTCCTGCATCCACTACTGAACACATCATCTATCTCAAAATCCAATGGCTAGTCAAATGAGAAAACCCAAGGCATGTGTTTGGAGCAGGTAGACGGGAATCTGTTCGGAGAAATCAAACTGGACATCTTAACTGTAAAGGAGGAGATCCACTTGCAGAAGTTTGTCAAACTCAGGTTTATTCTTCAGGTGAAACTTCCATGATAAAACATGTATTCACACTCCTATTTTATGCATGCTAGTGTACTCTAGCCTCTAGTGGTGGGGAGTGGTACTGCAACTCATAAATTACTGAGCCAATATTTCACACAGATGCAGTAGCAGCGAATCAGGAGATGACATGGAGACTCTGGGCTGCAAAACAGCAGGATGAAGATAGAAATAGAACAGCAGAGCAGCATAAACATGAACAATGAAGACAAGATCAAAGGTAGAGAGTAAGAGAACAGATGAGCAGAAGAGATATTGGTTATTTCTGTCTGGAAAGGGATCGGTCTGATGAAAGCAGTTACCAAGTGGAGCGTGGAACACGTAGATGTGCTGCTAAAATCCCACAGAAACACAAAGGTTATCGGGTTAAAATATTTAAAAGGAAGAGGAAACCTGAGTCAGGCAACATTTCTTCAACATTTTACATCTGATGTCCATTTGTGGGGTTGTAACAACAATATTACATAAAGAAGAAAACAACTGATAGAATATAAAAGCTCTTCTCAGTTTGAATAAAATCAGAAAGCTGTGAAGATGAGTCCCACCTGTCCTACTGCTGTTCACACAGATTCTGCAGCTGAAATAAGTTTAATATTACAAAAGACTTTCTGAAGAAATACAGAAAGTTAGAAAAACATGTCAAGAGCATCATTTTAGGAGTAACATAAATACAAATTCAACAAGAGGCAGAGCCGAAAACAGGTTTTATAAAACAGGTTAAGAGGAAACGAAGAGAGAAGAAAAGCTTGCGAGCTGTGGATGCTTGGTTTACAAAGATTGAAAGAATGAGGAATTAGGTTTACAGTGAAAGGCTAAGAAAGTTTACAGTCTCTGGAGTTAAACTCTCTGGACAGGTTAAGATCATCTAGTCCGAGGAATCATCATTTTACAGATTTTAGTCTAAATCAGGATCTAAAATGATGCCAATTTAAGTTGTAAAAACACACAACAGGTTCCACCTGAACCTTCAGTCCATTGATGTTTCTGTTCAGCCCTCTGAAGGCCCCATAACAGAACTTCAGTCAGGTTGATCTGGACTTTGAGAGGACCATTCCAGATCCTTGGTCTACACCATGTTGTAGATTTGCTGCTGTGTTTGGACCGGGGTTCTGTTTTATGAACCAGTCTGGTTCAAACTTCAGCTGTCAGCCAGATGGACTCGCACTCCTCCACCATGCTGACAGCTGCTGTCAGCCATTTGTATGTGTATGTGTATGATACAGAGTTTATTTTCTAAACATGGAGCTGTGCATTATGGGTTAACATCTCTACTTTGGTCCCATCTGTCCTTAATAACGATGTTCCAGATGACATGTGGTTTATTCAGGTATATGGTTTGGCATGATAGTTAAAATATGAATATAATAAAATAAAACAAATTAAAATATAAAATCCCAACAGATAGGCTAGAAAAGTCAACAACAGTGCGTCGATTGTTGCAGTCATAGGCTGCACATAAAAACAGGCATAGTTGCTCACTCTGCGTTGGATCCAGTTGGGTTTTGAGAATGAGGGACCCATCCAATATGGCGGCGATGCTGTTATGCCTTCCTGCGCCCAATGGGGCTTTTACATGTTCATGCCTATAGGGAGCCTAAGTCTACTTCTGCACCACGGGTCCCCGGAAGAACGAAGAAATGAATGCAAGTCAACGGGGCTAAAAATGTTATTTTCTAATTCCGTTTGTTATGCGCCATGGATTTCACGTATGATGTCCGTGAATTTTAAAGACATACTTTGATACCAAGAACGTGCTTATTCACAAACGGGGTTGGGGGGATATTTTAGGTTTTGTGTGAAAATAAGTCCAGGACTACAAATGCGCTTCACGAAAGTGACGTCATCGAACCAGACACGGAGGAAACTGGGAAAAGGGCTGTAAGTTCAGCAAACTTCCCACAGGAGGAAAGAAGCACCATAAATCTGGTCATGTGGTACGTAGCAGCTACGCTAGGGGAGAGGAGATTATGTGGTGACGTCACATATGCGACGTGCCCATTTCTAGTTTGTAATCCCACTAATTACGAACTTTTACAAGCTAATAAATTTTCAAAGTACGTGACTGGCGTGGTCAAAACACCCATCATTACTTCTCATTTAAATTGCAGTACAACACATGTGTGATCCAGGGAGTAAGGCTAAGCAGATTACAAAATAGCGTTTTTAGCCCCGTTGACTTGCATTCATTTGTTCGTTCTTCCGGGGACCCGTGGTGCAGGAGTAGACTTAGGCTCCCTATAGCGCCTTTCAGAGTCAGAGGTGGGCAGGCAAGGCGGGTTAAGTGTCTTGCCCAAGAACACAATAGCGGAATTCTCTGTCCGGAGCTGGGATCAAACCTGCAACCTTCCGATTACTGGGCAACCCGCTCTACCTCCTGAGCTACTGCTGTCTAGTCTATCATTGAGGTAAACCTGCCATGACGTCCGTGGGACGGTTGATGGGGTGAAAAAGATCATTGATGTCTTTCCTTTTTGGCGTTGTGTTAACACACAGCTGTATGCTCCAGAGCAGCAAACTTCGTCTTTCATAGAGGAGCTCCGGGTCAGTCTTGAACCTCATAAATCCCATGGAAGCAGCAGGGCGGATTTAGTCTTCACAGTTTTGTCTTTGTTTTTATTTACTGAGTAACAACCAGGTGAAATCTGTTGTGTTTTTATATTTGAGGTTAGATATAAACAGAGGTGGAAAGAGTACTAAAATGTCCTACTTAATTACGAGTACCAATACTTTGATAATTTTTTACTCAAGTACAAGTAAAAGTACTTGCCTAAATTTGTACTCAAGTAAAAGTAAAAAAGTATCATAAATAAAATATACTCAACGTAAAAGTTACTTAGTTACATTTTTGTCGGAATAAAGATGGCTACATCAGTACAAAATCACACCAGTTCTCACACACACACACACACACACACACACACACACACACACACACACACACACACACACACACACACACACACACACACACACACACACACACACACACACACACACACACACACACACACACACACACGCGCACGCACGCACACACACACACACACAGTTTGATGGAGGGATTTTTACCCAGCCAGTGAGAACAGGACGTGCACATTGATTGGACGAGGTTTTCTAGGATGGTACGTTTCAGTTGTGATTAAAATTATTCTTTATTTTGAAAAAAGAAAAAAAGTTCATTTTAAGATGCCATCAGCGTGTGAGGTATCTCAATGTTCTCATGACAACACTCTAACATGAGACTGTGCTCTAACCTGCCACATAACAAGCTAAAGTCAAACATCTCAGATGGAGCGTATGACAGCTGCTAACGTCGGCCCTGCCCTACTTTACCTCTACATTACAGTTCCTGTATCCATGTCCATCCTAGAGCTCCTCTCTGACCTTCATGCTTATTTAGAGCAGCTGATTCTTAAAGTTAGCAGAGTTCATCCTTGGTGGTGGGTTCACTCACTCATTTAACCCTTCACCACTGAAATCAGTTTGTTCATTCCAGTCCTCCTAAATAATCCTCCAATCATCCAACTGGAATCCTTAAGGGTCCCGTAACGTCCATCCTGTCAGAACAGGCCTTGGGAGCCCAGGTGTTACTAGAACTAACGGTGTCTCCTCACCAGCGTGAGCCTCCAAACTGTGAAGGTTGGTCTCCAAACATGAACTTTAAATTCATGCATTCATCTCCTCTTGTAGCACTTTAACATGTTTTAAAAGGCTTGTATCATGATAAGTTACCCCTCCCAGACCAAAGATAAGATAAAACATTATCATAGACGCTGCAGAGACGTCATTATTTATGAAATATGTTATTTTCCTGAGCCGTTACTTCAGCCAAGATATAAGATGCATGGATTTGATGAAACCACGCTGTCTCCTGCAGTCCTATATGTGTAATACACACACACACACACACACACACACACACACACACACACACACACACACACACACACACGCACGCACACACACACACGCACACACACACACACACACACACACACACACACACACACACACACACACACACACACGCACACACACACACACACACACACACACACACACACACACACACACACACACACACACACACGCACGCACACACACACACACACACACACACACACACACACACACACACACACACACACACACACACACACACACACACACACACGCACACGCACACACGCACACACACACACTGCAGCATGTTAGAATCATGTGAATGACTAATTGAACTACATTGAACTGCTTTAGTAATAATTTAATCTCTTATTCTGGAGTAAAATAAAGAAACAAGCTAAATCATCACATATGTGTGGCATCAAGGAGCATCTTCTGAGTTCAAACACAGGGATGGAGCACAATGTTTACACCTGAACAGTATCAGGATGTGTTAACTCTCAGAGGCCTGCAGGTATCCTGTTTTATAAGCAAAGTGCTGAGAATCCGCTTGTTAGGAGCGCTGAACGTTATTTTGTCGCTTCCGTGCGGAGCGGTAGAGAAACACATTTCAAACACAGAACTGAGTCCGGCTACCGAACCGAGCAGAATTCTGATGACGTCACACCGGTGCGCGAAGGTGCGGGTTCCAACCCACAGGAGAGGAGGGAGAGAGGAGGTGAACAGCGAGTGGATCACAGGGACTGAACTGATGTCTTTGAGCTAAAGTGTACACCCCCACCCCCCCTCACGGTTTAGACGCGGCACTCACGCAGGTGTCTCTCAGGTTCAGACGCTGCTACTCGTAATGTTTTTAATTTATTAAGCCTATAATTTGTTTTTACTCAGTAACGGATGTGATTTAAAATGTAGGGAATTACAATTCTTTTTTAAAAACGTACTCACGCAAAAGTACAGCTTTTAAAAACGACTTACAAAGTATAAATATGCAAAAACGCTACTCAATTACAGTAAAGTGAGTAAATGTAATTCGTTACTTTCCACCTCTGGATATAAACCATTTTGACCCTAGTGACCGGATCAGTTTTTGTACGTTCTGAGAAAACTCTGGTACTGAAAGATGGTGGGCTATTGTTGCCCGTGACTCGAGATGATCAAAAAGATGATGAACCTTGTTTGGATCTCAGGGTTTGAACTTATAAAATAGTTTAACAGATCGGTTAACCAGCATGGAGGAGAGACAGAATCACGCACATAAAGGATAATAGCGTTGGCCAAAAGCAGGCTACGGTGATTAAAACATAAACTGTGGTGCCAGATGTGACGGACACATTTCCCCGTCAGGATATTTGATGCTTTATACGATCTGGGTTATGTACAGCGTGTTCCGTCACCCACAGCCCAGCAGGAAGGCTTCTCCGAGTAAATCATCCTTTCTGTAAATATTAATCAATATGGTTGTGTTTCACGTTTCCTCGGATACTCCTGCATGTATTTCTGGACGTTGCGTAGAAGTCGTGCTACAGTGGTCACGGTTTTCTTTTCCTGCTCTTTCTCGGAGGCAGTGGTCCCGATGCAGCTGAATCCTATCTACCATGAGAATAAATCCACAGAAACTCAAACAGAACTGCTGCTCGTCAGGAAAAAGGACGCGAGCGAAGCGTCTGTGCCAAAGTCGCATAAGGCTGAGGCTGGATTTGCACACAAAGAGAGAGCTGGCTGAGCCCCGTGTCATGGGAGAGCATCAGGAGAAAGAGGAGCCTTGCCTTCTTGTAAGAGTGTTTCTCCCACATGGGGGGAGTAAGAGGATCCTTCAGATCAATAGGTGACACGCTGCCAAAAGAACTATAAATAGCTTGTTTTGAGGAAACCTTCAAGTCAAGGAGCCTGCAGGACCCATGACAGGCTGAGTTAATATGAGGAGCATCTATTGTCTGATTTGTCTCGTCTTGTTTGGTTAAAGGCCAACTTCACTGGAAAAGCATTTCTAATGATTATTTCTGATTATAACGGGTCACTCTGAGCTATTCATGCAGGCTGAATGTGAAAATAGTCTCCTGCACCTATCTCCTGCATCAGCTTCTGATAGAAAATAAACTTGGATGGAAAATCCTGACGGATCTACGTCACACTGTCACCTTGGATGCACCCATCTTGACTCGCGACGGGAAGGCTGTTGTTGGTTTAGCGTCCAGGAAACGGCAGAGAACGTCTCGGCTTGTAGAAGCTAACTGTTAGCATTAGCAACTCCAGCACACAGCAGAACTCCTTCAGGCTTGTGTTATTTGTGGAGATAAAAACATCAACGTTGCAAAGCTAACAGTCAGCCAATCAGAGGAGAGATGTCCAAAATATCAGGAAATAAGACTCCAGATCCTGCCGCCTGAAGCTACTTTCCCCTCTCTATGCTGAAACAGGCTAACTTTTCCCCCCAGAGTACGACTTACAAGGCATTCATTCCTACTAGAGACCGCTGCAAATGTATTACAAATCTGAGTAAAGTTGAACTTCAGGTCATCTCGGTCTGTTAAAACACGTCTCCACTTCCCCTCAAGCGTCACAAGCCATAGTCTCGCCACGACCCAAAGACAGAGTGCAGTCGTGGGGTGGAATCTATGGCTGTCATTCAAACTGTCTTCAAATGTAATTGGACAGCGGCGGGACCAATCAGAGCAACAAACAACGTGATGTAGTCATCACCATGGCAATCAGTCAACCGGGCAGTCTGCCGTACACCATCAAAGAAAAAGCAAAAACATCCTTTTTAAAAAAATAAAAGAAAGTCTAAATCATCCAGAGCCGTTACAAACATGTGCCATTGCTGAGTCGCATTCCTCTGTTGCTGCTCTGGTGCCACGCCCACCTAACGTCTAGAAAAACAGAGAGCGCTGTGATTGGCCCGACCTAAAACTGCTTGCGCCAGTGCTAGATCTGCTGAGGCTGCAGTGGAGCGTGGCTAGCCCGACCTGCAGAGCTAAATCTTATTCTACTGCTACGGTCTGTCTAGATGTTTAGGCTGCTTCTCCTCAACGGTCATGAAAACTACGCCAGAGGCAGCATTTTGATCGTAAGGCAGTCGAGCAGTTAGTTTGAAAAAGCAAACGCTGGACTAAGCGTTTGAGTTGAACAGGAATCCGAGGCTTGCTTGTTCCCGGGAAGTGTCTGAACGTTGAGGTGAGTGGAAGAAGTTTCTTTATTGTAGTCTAAGAGGCAGCGTCGCGTCAGTCTGAAGCTGTTAAATGTACCGTTACCTACTTCCCCACAAACGGGATGTTTTAGTCTGAACTCTTCTTCTGTCCATCTCCTCCTAAATCACCGTGCTCTCAGCACATCTACTCACCCCACCGGCCTTTTAAACTCGAAACGTTTTCCTCCGCCCTCGTGTTCTCCTCGTCCCGCTACACACTGACACCCACTCTTGTTCTCCCCCTTCTCTCATTCCCTCTTAAGCTCATTTTGCTCAACAGGGACAGTTACTTTTGGTTTCAGTCTCCTGTGAGAGCCTGACCCTCCCGTCCTCCCGCTCCACGTCTCTGTACAGCAGAGACTTCTGGGCTTTCAGGCGGCAGGCCAGCGACATGAAGATGGAATCCACATTCTGGGTCTCCTTTGGGTCCTTCGCGGACGTCTCGAACAGCAGCATGTTGTGGGCGTCGGCGAACTTCAGCGCCATGTTGGAAGGCACCTGGGGATCACATGACCAATCAGATGAGAACGACTGAAAACATGTTGGAGGTTTTGCTCGAGAACACCAACCTGTATTTGATCCACGAGGTCACACTTGTTTCCCACAAGAACCCGAGGCACAGACGCAGACACCCGATGGCCGTTACACTCCTGAGACACAACAGAACACACAGCACCAGTGAATATTGTGTTTCTGTGACAGACAAGGCCACTGATTCGCTCTGATTGTTCCTTTTGGTCATAAGAAGGCCCAATTCACATAGCAAGATAATTATGCCAAATTTTGATCCGACACTACCCTACCTACAATGTTAAAGACCAAGTTTACTCGATTTTTTAATGCATCTGCAGTGGTCTCTAGTATAAATCAGGGCTATTCATTTCCGGGCCTCGAGGGCTGGTATCCAGCAGGTTTTAATGGCTTTTCTGGTTCAACAGATTTGATTCAATGGTTAAATCACCTGCACAGCAGCTCATCAGGCTCTGCAGAAGCCTGTTAATCACCTGCTGATTGAAATAAGGTGTGTTGAAGCAGGGTTAGAACTAAAACGTGCTGGATACCGGCCCTCGAGGTTCAGAATTGAATAGCCTTGGTATAAATCAATGCCTTTTGAGTTGATCTCTGTGGGAAAAATGCTCCGGTGCTCCTGTTTTGGGAACTAGAAGCTAGCAAGAGCAGAGGGGAGCAGAAGACAGTGGGTTTTGGAGTCTTATTTCCACTTGGACATCTCACTTCTGATTGGCTAACAGCAATATGACTCAAACGCCCGCAACACACCAGGCGCAGAAGCGTGACGAAGCACTGTGGAACCACGAGCGCTTGTAATCGGCGCCCTTGTTGACTTACGCTCTCGGTCACATCAGCTGTGAAGCGCCACAAAGGCTCGCGTCGTGCAGCGATCATTTCGGAGCGAGCTCATTTTTTTTCGTGAGCTGTGAGAGAGCCGCGTAAATTCTGGCAGGAAGTCAAACCAAAGCAGAAGAAGCAGGCCGGTAAATTTAACAAAATAAAAGAAAATTTTCTAAATACAACACATTTTTGTGAATCTAAACAGACTAGAGAGATCAAAATGAAAACACACACACACACACACACACACACACACACACACACACACACACACACACACACACACACACGCACGCACACACGCACACGCACACACACACACACACACACACACACAGCAAGGGCACGGGGGTGGGGGGTGGAAAACAGTAGGCGTGAGCAGAAGCGCTCATTGAAAATTCTCTCCTGATGTGAACAGAGGAGGAGTGGACAGCGCAAGAATTTCGGGAGTGATCCACTTTGCGGCGCTTCACAGCTGGTGTGTTCCGGGCGTAACACTGACTCAGTGCAAGAACTGAGGTTAGACGTCAAATATTCCTGTTGCTATAGCAACCCCAAGCTACAGCCCAGTCTGACAATAATTAGACTGGTTCGATTTATTTTTGTAGAATAAATGAAATCGTAATTTACTTTTTTACTTAACGAAATAAGAATCAATTTAGGGAATCTCGTTTATTTAGATGGAAATTTTCTGCAAGCATCATCAAATATAGGTTTTACCTCTTAAAGGGAACACATTTACCTCTTTTAAACAAGTTTTAATAGTTATGTAGTTGTATAGAAACCAGTGCATGAAGTCACACAGCTTGACAACGTCTAGAACACATGTGTCAGACACACGGCCCGCGGAGCATTTTTATGTGGCCCGCGAGATAAATATCAAAAATATATTAAAACTGGCCCGCTGGCCGATTTTACCGCAAAGACTTCAACTCCCATGATGCTTTGCGGCGTCAGCGCGGAGCCGACACGCCCCCTCCTTTGTGTTTTTTCAGCGCCTGCTGCCGGTGTCTGCAGCTCCGCTGTCTCGGACAAACTAAACACTCCTCTCACTCAGCGCCGAGTTCACTCAGCTGTTTTCTGACGTTGAAGCCCAGAAACGGAGATTCTAGCAGCTCAGTAATGTGTTCACGACTGAAAGAGAAAGTTTTCCAACTAACGTCCAGACAGAGCTGATATAACTCCAGCGAGCAGCGACACGCTCAAACCAGCACGACTCTGTGGTTGTGTTTCCTCCCCGACACACAACAACGTGGTCAAGCAGCTCAGACATGTTCATCAGCACAAACCTATGTGAGCACCTGTTGTCATCTAATGTTGTCATTATTATGATGAAGATGAACAAAACAACAGGAGTCTCCTCCTCAGCTCAGATCAACCCCATGATGCAGGTATCTGGCTGGAACAGGTGAGCATCACAGTAAACCAGTGGAGCAAACTGAGCTTTAAATATGTTGGTTTGATGCTCTTTTTCTGCTCCAAAACATGAAAGTTAACAGGTGAGATGTTGCATTTTCATTTAAGATAAAATGATATTTTTATTTTGTTGTTGGCCCGTGAGAAAAGATTTAACCTACAGTAAACAGGAAGTGGAAAGGCTGCAGATAGATGAATAGAATAGAAAATCCCTTTATTGTTCCTCAGTGGGGAAAGCTAGACGTCACAGCAGCGATGACGCGTATTACAGGTGAACAAAAGGAGAATAAAAATAAGAAAAATGAATAAACAAGAAAACATAAATCCTGAATAGATTTTAAAAATGCTGATTATACCACAAGTAATGAATACCACTGATGTGTTTTATTTAAAACGGACTTTCTCGTGTGTGATTTGGTTATTCCACATTCAGTGTTAATGCAGAAATAAGTTTGTTTTCCAAATTTAAAGGTTCAAAATTGCATATATGTTGATAAAGAAAATGTGCAAATTTGCCGTCACTTTTTCAAAAATATTAAGTTTGGCCCTCGACTCCGTCCCAGAGTTTCATTTTGGCCCCGTGTGAGTTTGAGTTTCACACCCCTAGTCTAGAATGAGCTACTTCAGGGCTCTGTCACATGAATGTGTAGCAGGGTGATCGTTTGCAGCTGGGTGGTGCTGCTTAACCAATCACCTGTAGAGGGCGCCCTGTTATAAAGACAGGGGTTGGTTCCCTTGCGTGGGTGATTGCCTCCATCGACATAAATATACTGGACATCTCCTTTCCATAGGCTTTCAATATCACGTTTCTGAGGCCAAATGGGAGGTGGCCACCACCGCCATTTTGACCGTGTCACAGGTTCCATCAAGCCCAGACAATTCCAAAAAAGGGAAGAGAGGAGGAGCTGAGGGTGTGGCTGTAAGGCTGGGATCAACTGACGACACCCGGTCGAACTAGCTACAAGCTAACCTGAAGCTAACCCTGGCTAACCCAAAGCTAATGCGGAGGTGGGAGCTAAGCTAACGGAGGTAGCAACCTAGCTACAGCCGGAGTTAACTGTGCACAACACCAGAGCTTCTGAGTCAGAGACACGCCGGGCTGACCGCTGGGGAGAACCGGGTGGGAAGGTTTCCATCCCAGAGCTCCACAAGCCGGCAGCCCACGCATCAAACAGAAGTCGCGATCAGACAGATGCGCCGAGCTGCTGGGAGAACCAGCCGTCAGCCCGCGCAGCTAACAGAAGTCGCGATCAGACAGATGCGCCGAGCTGCAGGGAGGGGAGAACCGGGTGGAAAACATCGGTCTCCCGAGAGCTCCACAAGCCGATAGTGGGAACCCAGCTCCACCAACATGTTATATTTCAACCCATTTTCTAAAGTGCAGCATTATGTTAAATGCACTGGGGTTTACCCTATTACATTTAAATTTCATGGTTAAACAGTACATGTTAAAATCTAAGCTCAGCTCGGCAGTGACCTAAAATACATAAATATAATTTTACTTACCGAAATAAATGAAGTGGAGACTCCTTGGATGCTCTATTAGTGCAATTAGTGCCACTGCAAGTCATTTTGTCCAACAATTGCTCAAATAATATCCAAACAAGAATACACACACACAGAGACTCAAAATCCCGGAACAGTTTCCAGACCAGACCGAGGCTCTACTGAGGCCTTTCCACGGAGCTAGCTCTGTGGTCACGTGGGTCTGATGCTCATTAATTATACAGAATTTTAGGCTTTTAATACACTTAAACAGAAGAGTGAGAAAAACATTCACCCTCTCAGAGCTGTCATGAGTGTAAACTAGATCATTTAAACCTAAAACATGTTCCGGTACCAGGCTGTAAACATGTTTATTTCTGCTGTGAAATTGGTATTTTTAACATGGGAGTCAATGAGGATTTGCTCGCTTCTGACACCAGCCCCCTAGTGGATGAGGGTGGAACTGCAGTTTATATCATTTCCGGGTTTGCCTCAATTTCAGAGCTGCATTGTGGGGGCTTGATTGCCTCTCACTAAACTGGCATTTACTTCCGGGTTGTCGAACCGGTCGTGTATGTGGCAGGGCTTGGCAAACTGTAAGTTAAATTATCCCTTCGGCGTTGGCGGCTTAGCAGTCTGTGTTAATCCTCTTAATGCTCTAGTCGTGGCTGGTGTCTGACCGATCAGCTCTGGGATGTACCAGTGTTTCGCCGGCTCAGGTGGGCAAACTAACGCCTAAGGTATGTACCCTGCCCTTTTTCACCATTCAGCTGCTCATTTTAATTAGCTTTTGGCTCATTTTAGAGTCTGCACCAACGCACTCTGCTGTTTTGCTTCTCCAGATTTTTAAGATTAGTTCCTGGCTCCCACGAGCAGAGGACACGAGTTCCCAGCATCGCCTGGATGTGACAGCGGCTGGTCCCGCTTGACCTATACCAGATCGGATCCATGGCCGCCAACGACATCGCCTCCTAGGCTAGGCTGTGTAGTGGAACTCACTCTGGTCCAGGAAGGACCACCTCTCTGGTGTCTCCAGCAGCAGAAACTGTCGAGCTGTTTAGCTCTTTGCTGTGCGTAGCACACGTCTGGCACGTATCTGAGCAAGACTGAGTGCTCTTTTAAAATTATTTTGCTTCTTTTTTATTTATTTTAGACAGCCTGCAACTCCTGGCTGGTGAACTAGCAGGCAGTCCATCTTTTTAACACATTTAGCCAACTGTTTGTTGTTTTTGTTTTTATTAGTTTCTTTATTTTATTGCAGGCTGCTTACTCCCAGTGGGCACCATCGGCCTTGGTGGTGGGAGTTTTCAAAATGTGTGTGTGTTCCTTCATCGTGCATCTCCTAGATGCATGGCACGGTGACGGGGGTGACTTTAGTTTGGTTTGATGTGTTTTGTTTGGTTGGCCGAATTGGACCCTGGTAAGCTTCAGCCTGTTCAGATTAATTTAGTATCTTTTCTTTCTCTTTTATATTTTAAATAAAAGCATGACATTGGTCAGACCACTTCTCCTGCCTGATCTGTAGAGTGGACCTGTGTGTCCTTATTTCCTGGGGTGCAACTCCCCAGGTGGCGTTGTGTGTTACTGGCAACTACAGCCACCCCGGATGCCACAAATGCAAATAAGCCGTTACCGTCCACGTCCACTCATCCACTGATAGGCTGCTATAAGGTGAAGAGCTGAGATATCTGGGAGGGGCTTGGAGTACCGCTGCTGTTCCTCCAGCAGGTGGTGGTGGTGGTGGGGTCTATGCTAATTATTCCAATTGTGACATCACAAAAAGGGCCACTTTAAAATGGCTTGTTGAAGCAAATGATTCCTGACAGTAAACACTAATAGAAGCGTTTTTATTCACATCTGGGGTGTTGATGGAGGCAGTAGAGACCCACAAGGCAACACAAAAGGAAGTGACATTGGCAAATTGTCCCCATTAACAAACCTTTCCTGTCCTTTACTTTCGTCACGTTGAGTAAAGCCTGATTCATGCTTCTCCATCTGCGTCAGTGCGGAGACACGCAACGTCCTTGCGGAGCTGCCGGAGAGCTCCGCAAGGACGGACGGAGTCGAACTCTCTTTTCTAAACATCCGTCAGTCGAGACGGACAACGCAAGCTTGTGATTGGTCAGGACGCCGCTGTCGTCTACACCGCCGCCATTGCGCCCTCAAAAACATAAAGAGAGCCGAGGATAACTAGCAGCAGACACGGAGAAGCTTGAAGAATACCTCGCGAAAAAACTCTAAAATATGAATGTTTAATTCTCCCGTGACTGGAGGAGTGAAAAGATGCGCAGCAAGCGTTTTTATTTGTGGACGGAAATGACAGGAAACGTGGGTTTAGAGGTGGTGAGCGCATGAACAGGTGGAGCATGATGAGAGACAAATTTGTGTTAAAAAGTATCTTATATACAAAAAACACAATATAAACACACGATCTTGGACCAGATACATGACAGGATACCACAGAGCAGCGCTACGCCCTCTGGTGTCCTGGCGGGGAATTGCTTTGCAACACTGTCCAGGAGACGGAGAAGTATGAGAGCAAAACGCTTCCGTCAATCCGTGCGTGTCTGTCCCTTGCGGAGCTGACGGAGAAGCATGAATCAGGCTTTATTCCATGTTTGTCTCTCTACAGGTGAATAATCTTTTTTAAGATTGTGGCTCAACCAAAACCTGACAGCAAGACACCAACACAATCCATTATCTTTGACTCACTGCAACTGTGTCAAGGAGCCATTGTGTACTAATTACCTCTATCCATGTCTGCAGGTTGCGGAAGGAAGCCATCTTAGTAACATCGTACACGAAGACCACAGCATGGACATTCCGGTAGTAGTGTTCCACCATGGACTTCCGAAAGCGTTCCTGGCCTGCTGTGTCCCACACCTGCACCTGTAGGGGAGAGGCGGTGGCAGAAAGGAGGGGGGTTGTATTCAAGTTAGATCACCTGCCTCTGAGAGACGAGGTGTCCGTGTGAATATATCTCATCGTTTACAGGATGCATTAGAATGAAACCCTCAGAAGTGAGTCACTGGATGAAAGTCTTTTCAGGTCAGGTCGGCAACCTGTTCCCATCAAAGAGCCATTATTACCCGTTTCCCACAGTAAAGAAAACACCGCAGTAGCCGCAGCGTTGTGGGCGGGGCCTACCCTCAGACAGCAGAGAGCTGCTCACAACAGGTGACAGCAGCCGGTACCGGTCGCTCGCATGGGCGTCGCACCCGTGGGGGATTCAACACCCACACTTTTCCTTCTGTTTTGCTCACCTCCACACCAGTCTGGTTTCTTTAGGTCGCACTCACTCTGTTTGCCTCATCTCCTTCTTCCCCTCCCGCTTCTGACAGCCGATGTCGGGTTTCCAGGAGAGCAGGAGAGGGAGGGACGGAAGAGCTCGACTGAATTCATAATTTTACATCTTGACATTAGCTGTACAAAGTCTGAGTTTGATAAAGTGAAGAACAACAATTTGCAGAGGTTTATAACAGGCGCGGCGCCAGGTTTTCATTTTTGGGTGGGCCACGGTAATTCTGGACGGACCTTAATAAGCAGTGACTTCAGTGAAGCAGGCAGGTCGCGCTAGAAAATGTCATTTAAAAAGACGTCATAAATGTGTTCCCCCGTCATTTTAATTTATAAAATATGAAGTAAAAACTCACAATTTAATTTTCATTCATTTGTCATTAATGTGTAGTCTACACCCGTGCGTTAAGTGTAGACTGAGTGCCCGTGCGTTAGTGCTGAGTGAAAGCAAAGCATCCAGCCCATCTCTCCAAATGCGTAAAATGTGCATCAGCCGCTAGTTAGGCGTGCCGCGCGCACCATCAGCTACGTCAGCCCAGACAAGAGCAGAGCAACTAGAGAAAGAATAGAGGATTATTGTGTCTGGATGTGGATGGAGATTACATTTTACAGCAGCCTGTTCATCATTTAAATAGTAAACCATCACCTGTCTTCTAGTCCACGCTATCAGCATTATTTTAATTGGTGTGTGTGTGTGTGTGTGTGTGTGTGTGTGTTTTCCACTTCAAACTAACCAACCAGACCAGTGTGTCCAGTAACGTTACAATTAAACAGTTTCACTTCATGTAGGCTAGGAACGTTTCACCTGCCGTGGCCCGACCGCTTCTGCTCCACATAAACTTTGTGAGTGATCAAATGTCTCTACAGGTGCTTTCTGAGCTGAAGAGGCTATTCTGCCTCAGACTGGATGCGTCATGCGTCTCCATATTAGAGACGGGAACAAGCGCTGTTCAGCCAAAGTTTCATAATTTCATAAAAAGAACATTTTTCCAAGTGACACATCCCTCAGAGAGACCGGGTTTCCAGAACGCTTCAGTGGGAGGAAATCTTATCGCATGCGCCGTGGTTCTGCACTGCGCTGCAAACCCCTCTACAGATCTTCAGCCCACTGTCCACCGTGGGCGCTCCGAGCCGCGCTGAACACAGTGTCCAGTATAAAGCTCTGATGTTCTGATGGGAATCAAGTTACCTCTGCGATGTGCGTATTAAAATGTCAGCTCATCCATGCGCATCAGTGTGCGTCGGGGTAATTCTTTCAAACCAAGCAACATCCTTGAGTTTATCTGTCAAAATAAACAGTCAAATGGAAATATCTGTAAGCTGCCATTTAACTGTTTTGCCTTCTTGTGAAGATTAATGCAAAGAGAAACAATTAAACTTGATTAACCCCAGAGCCATGCGCACTGCGCTGTACTTCTGACTGTAAATGAGGGGAAACAATTTAATCGGATCCTTTTCTCTTCAACATGGTTTAATGTAAAGTTTCATTCAGTACAAACTTTAGTTACACCAATCTAACGAGACAGAGCCTGGATTTGTATTCTGAACAGTTTAAACATGTTTAAAACGGAGACATGCGTGACGCGTCTAAAATTTGCACCTGCTCCGCTGTTATGGAAATTAAACTAACAAGATGAATAACATGAAATTATTTTAGGCACAGACAACATCCCCCACACTTTTGAAAAGCTTGCAACGCGCCTGTTCGCTCGTGTACGTCAAAGTTATCTTTCATAAGACGATAATCAATAAAACGATTTATATAAAGTGGATCCAGAAGTTGTAGCCCGTCTCTGCTACAATATTTAGATATTTTTCACCCTGTTGGTGGTTTTACTGAGCAGGTGCCCCTTTTGTCATACGTTTCTTTTTAAAACGCTGCGAGCACAAGCGTGACGCGTCAACCCGGTCTCACAGTAAGACCGGGTTGGACCTGTTCAGGTTTACGCAGACAATCTTTACATTTAGAATTGGCATACAGATGTAAAATTAATGCAGTAAAATATAAATCATTTTATTTAAATATCCATTCATTAATTAACAAGCACAGAGAGCCGCATCAGATGGATGGAAGAGCCGCATGCGGCTCAAGAGCCGCGGTTGCCGACCCCTGTGCTAGCCTACTTTATTGTCCCCAACAATTTTTAAACCCCACTCAAGTGTATGGTTATTGTCCCCAGCAATTCTGAAAACAAACTGACGCCCTTGGGTGATTTAATTTATCATCGGCAACAAATAGCTCCTTTTATAGTGATGAAAACAAAACAATGGTTATATTCAGATGATGGTATACCAACGGCATAATAATAATAATAACAATAATAATAATAATAATAGTTGATTTTATGTAGATTTATTCAACAACAAAACCAAATTATTGAATTAAATCAATGTGATGCATGCAATATATGTGTTGTACATAATGCTGTTCATTTGTCATCAACACTTTTCTGTTTTGTCTGTGGGCCGAGGGCCTCGCTGATTCAGACACACTGCTTCCCCATGTTATGTGAACAGAGCTTTGTGTGTTTGTGAGTCAGCATTAGAGGGCATCTGAAGGCTACAGACACACTATTCAACATTCTCATCCTTGAAAAACACTGATGCAGGAAAACACAGTTGTCACTGTATGAATTTTTTATATTTTGGCTGAATACTGGCCGGAAAACTGAGATGAATAAAATAAAATAAATTACACATATAGCTGTAGATAAACTAAATATTAGAATGTTGGAAACCTTTCAGTAACACTAAAATCTTGACAGCTCTGATAACTAACATTTTTTCTGTGAACCAAAACTATCTTACCATATGTTTGTTATGGTACCATATCAATATTTAACTTAATAGATATAACTATTAAGATAAATATACACACAACTCTATTATCCACAGTTGCAAAGGCTCTCCAACAGGCTTGCAAGGACAGATGGAGTAGAGCCTATTTTTAACTATCTGTAGAAAGTGATGGAGACCGCAAACCTGTGACTGGTCAGAATGCCGCTTCCTTTAACTTTGTCAACAGCACCGACACTCCCCCTCAAAACAAATAAAATGAGAGCCGAAGAAATCTAGCAGCAGACACGGAAGTGAAATGAAATAAATGTTTATACAAAGACACACTTTAGCTGCATTATTTATGTCAGTTAAATATTTTTTTAATTTACACATTATTAGATTTTTTTCTGCATGAATATTTGGTAGGAACTATTTTGTAGCATGTTTCTTTTTTTTTTTGATGAATAAGAAAAAATCCTTTATTTATTTTTCTTTTGTCTAATCTAACATTCGACGCATCGAGATGTAGACATAAACTATTACGAACCATTGAACAAGCATGCCATCATCTTTTTTTTTTTTTACCGTGTCCTGTCTGGCTGTGAAGCAAACAGAATTGATGTCTGAATGCTGGTAACAAGCCTTACAGATTTACTCTCAGGTGGAGCATCAAAGCGTCTGCTTTTAATGTCACGCCTGATACTTAAAACTTTATTGTTATTGTTTTTGAATGCTTTGTAATTCCGACCAGACACGGAGACAGAGGTGAAAGAGAAAGGAAAAGAAAAGGTGGGGAGAGAGGGGGTAGGGGGTGGAGGGGTTCCACGAAAATAAACAATAATGAACAAGAGTCTGCTTCTAGACCTGCAGAAAAAGACAAAAAAAGCAAAAGGGCAAAAAAAAAAGGGACACAACAACAATACAACAAGATCTAGCTATCACTGCGTCAACTTGATGAAGAAATATATAATCAACATTGCTTAACTGAAGAATCACGATAATAAATCACAGTGCATTAAGTGCCCCCCATAGTCTTAAGACATGTGTTGAACGTGCCCAAGCCCATACTTTTGAGAGCACCATGTGAGCACCTGTGTGTGTACACGCGCTTGTTTATGTAAGGTTTCTCTATAGGAGCGTCCAACAGAGAGTGTGAGGGGCCACAGATCCGCCCCCCAAAGATGTGTAGGAGACGGGGGGAGCTCCAAGTCCCAGAGATCCAGGCGCTGCCCCAGAACACAGGAACCCCAAGGAGACTGCAACCTGGAAGGCCCCCGCCCCCCTCGAGAGGCACAGAGGATCGCCCCGGGGGGCCACAACCAGCAGCCGGCAGAGTCCCGGGAGACATCAGCGGCAAGCCCACAGGCCCGCCCGCAGCCTCCCACCCCCTAGCCGGCCGAGCCCGGAACTCAGCGACCCGGGACCCAGGGGCGACCAGCCCCGCCGGGGACCCAGCATAGCCCAGGGACCCAGACCCCACCAGGCAGCCACCGGGATCTATCAGGCAGATGCCAAAATCTTAAACCCCCAGACCCGGTTGCCATGAACACTCAGGCAGACCATGGCACAACCCCTCACACCAGGTGTGGCAAGGGGAGGGGGGACGAAGATCTATATCATCAAAAGAAGTCCCAGGAGAGGGGAGGAGTCAAAGGCCCCACCTGACATATACAGTCATACACAAACACAGTCACACACTCCCTCCCTCATGCTCACACATGCACATACAACCCAAGACTTACAAAAATGCACGCTGGACACCCACTCATGCTCCCCATACACACCCTATTCACTCTGGTCCCGGTACTGCTGCACATGGGGTACAACCATCACCGGTAACCAGAGTTTGACCCTTTCTGCTGGGGTGCTGATGAGCAGGCTCCCCCGCCCGACGCTGAGCACAGCAACCCACCTCCTCAGACCCCAACCAGACGGTGAGATCTCCCTCCTAGCCTCCAGCCCCAGGAAGCCAAGCAACAACAGAGGTGCGTTAAGACCCCTAGTCTCCCTCGGCCTGCTCCAATATAGTGTTGTGTGATCATGAGGTGTATTCCATGGCTGTGGTGAGTGGGCAGTGCGGGTATCATCTGGCCTATGCCAGCTGATGCCATCGCACCACCCCACTTACACCCTCAGCCCTCAGTGTCTAAGTGCGGTTTAAAATTGGAAGTGGGCACCGGCACCCGGGAGGAGGCTGAGATATCTCCCTGCCAAATGCCGTTGAATGTGCTCACTCCCAAGGCCCTAAGTGTGTGTCTGCGTGGAATGTCATCAGTGGAAGTGTATAAGGTGCAAATAAAATTGGGGGGCAGGGTGCCACAGGAATGCGGAAATGGGGTCCATACCCGCACTCCCTGACTTGCCCACCCCCCAAGGTCCTATGTGTATGTTTGTGTGATGATGTGAGGGAGCAGGAGGGGAGAAATATGCGGGGATGGGGAGGAATGGCTGGTTGGGCTTAGCCCTCCAGGGAGCCAGCTCCCCTACTGGCCCCAATAGGCACCTCTGTGATCAAACTGCCACCCAGGGCATGGAGACCCCAGCCCATCCTGCCAGGACCCAAAGCAGCAGCATTACAGAGCCTCATGGAGTCCGAGGGCACCAACCCAGCCCCTCCCCAGCAGAATATCTATGCCCATCCCTGCATTTGCACAACTTCCAGAATATATAAGACATGGGACATCCAGGTAAGGTTGGGTCCTCCCCCTCCTGGACCTCCCCCTCCCCGTGATGGAACGGCAGAGGAGCCAAGGTCTACCTGAGGCCCCCAAACCCGGGCCAGGCACTGCTGCATGTTCCTGCCTTCTTCTCAGCAGCATACATGTCAGGACCCGACCCCCAAGGCCCCGCCCAGATCCCCACATGGGGCCAGCCACCCCCCAAACCCAGAGCCCCCAGGCCCCCACCCAGACCCGCCCAGGGGCAATGCAGCCACCAAGCAGTGACCCATGGTCGCCGCCAAGATCCCCAAGGGGCCCCACTCACAACCGCCAGCAGTCCACCCCCCGAGGCAAGCATGTTTATTTCTGCTGGGACATATTTAGCTGTTGCACACTTTTTTTTTCTTCAATGGCCATTTCTCAATACTCAAGTACGCTAGAACGTTCTTGTGTACTAGTCAAGAATGTTCTTGGCAAAGACACCAGAAAGTCCTTTCTATCGAGTACGGGAGGACGAGGACAGCATTTGAAACAGAACCATACTCTGTTGTGTCCTGGCAAGCACTACTTCTTGCTACGGTTAAAAAAAACAACCTAACATGAAAATAAAAGCTTAATTTGTTCCTTAAATATCAAAATAACAATGAAAATGCATGACTTGTATGATATTTAGCCCACTTTTGATCAAAACAATAATCAAAACTAATAAAATATTAGAATTTCCCACTCCTCAATGAATAACTATTTTAAATTTTATATCAGAACAAAGCTACACTGCTTTTATTTTGATAGTGTGTGTGTCCGAAAATACGGGAAGGATTATTGTAAGAGCGCATTTTGAGGTCGATGATGTCACAGCGCAGCGACGAGTACTGTCCGAATTCCAAGAATATTCATTCTTGCGTCCTCAAATGCATCCTCGCTCCGCCATCATTTCGAGGACGGGTCTGTTGTGTCCTCACAAAGCCCCCACAATGTGGCTCAAAAATTGAAGCAATCCCGGAAGTACCAAAAATTGCAGTTCCACCCTCATCCACTAGGGGCTGGTGTCAGAAGCGAGCAAATCCTCATTGACTCCCATGTTAAAAATACCAATTTCACAGCAGAAATAAACATGTTTACAGCCTGGTACCAGAACATGTTTTTGGTTTAAATGATCTAGTTTACACTCATGACAACTCTGAGGGGGGTGAATGTTTTTCTCACTCTTCTGTTTAAGTGTATTAAAAGCCTAAAATTCTGTATAATTAACCACATAACAAAGCTAGCTCCGGGGAAAGGCCTCAGTAGAGCCTCGGTCTGGCCTGGAAACTGTTCCGGGATTTTGAGTCTGTGTTTGTGTATTCTTGTTTGGATATTATTTGTGCAATTGTTGGACAAAATGACTTGCTTTGGCATTAATTGCACTAATAGAGCGTCCAAGGAGTCTCCACTTCATTTTTTTCGGTAAGTAAAATTATATTTATGTATTTTAGGTCACTGCCGAGCTGAGCTTAGATGTTAACATGTACTGTTTAACCATGAAATTTAAATGTAATAGGGTAAACCCAGTGCATTTAACATAATGCTGCACTTTAGAAAATGGGTTGAAATATAACATGTTGGTGGAGCTGGGTTCCCACTATCGGCTTGTGGAGCTCTCGGGAGACCGATGTTTTCCACCCATTTCTCCCCTCCCCGCAGCACGGCGCATCTCTGTCTGATCGCGGCTCCTGTCTGCTGCGCGGGCTGCCGGCTTGTGGAGCTCTGGGATGGAAACCTTTCCACCCGGTTCTCCCCAGCGGCAGCTCTGCGCATCTCAAATCGCAGCGGTGCTTGTCTGCTGTGCGGCTGCCGGGCTTATGGAGCTCTCGGGAGACCTCTGTGTTCCACCCGGTTTTACCCAGCGGTAAGCCCGGCGTATCTCTGACTCAGAAGCTCTGGTGTTGTGCACAGTTAACTCCGGTTGTAGCTAGGTTGCTGCCTCCGTTAGCTTAGCTCCCACCCCCGCGTTAGCTTTGGGTTAGCTTCAGGTTAGCTTGTAGCTATTTCGACCGGGTGTCGTCAGTTGATCCCAGCCTTACAGCCCCCACCCTCAGCTCCGGTCCTTGCTAGACCGGTGTCGGTACAAGATCTGCTCGGGTGCAAGATCGGCTCGGGGTCCTTCGACTGCCGATGACGTCAAAATACGGCAATCCCACTAGGACAAAATACACTACACATCTATACTGTTGGAAAGAATTTAGCAGTTTCGTTATTAAAATAATGTTTCTTAAGACGTAAGTTTGTGTTTATAATGGTATTTGTAAAATAAAACACTATTGTATTCATAATGTTGAACTCCTCTTTGAGCACATCCCTTGAAGAATCATAGGTATTAGCAACACCTGTGAAATTGTATTTGCAGGAAAGAAGTGTGTCCTGTTTATTTAAGTATTTTGTGTTTAGAGTTTTTGACGTCTTGTCCATGCGTAGTTCAGTTACGTTGATAGCTGCTAGCCAAAACTCGAGTTAAAAGTTTTCTGGCTTTACTAAAATACCTGTCTGTACTTATTTGATTGATGGTAGTTTTACTTTCTATTAGACTCCAAATTTAATCATTTGGCACGTTTCTAATTCATAATTTGTAAGAATGTAATCGGTGATATTAGCATTAGCATTCCTATGGGTTTTTCCATGTATATTAGCATTGCGCTAACCACTCGCTGCCAAATTGCAGCCTTTGGGATTAGAAAATCTCCTTTTGTCACATCACAATTTAATTGCACATGCAGTTAATCGTTCAGCCCTAATATACATGCAGCTCTATGCTAAAAGTGTATTTTCAAAGAGGTAATGATGGATTTCTTTGTAATAGTTGTCCATCTTTCCAACAGAAATATTTGCCTGGACAAACGTAATGTGATAACAACGTAACGTGATTACGTAATTCCGTAAGGTTCATGTTCAGCCAATCAACTACTTTCACGTCATCGGCAGTCGACGGACCCCGAGCCGATCTTGCACCCGAGCAGATCTTGTACCGACATAAAGAGGTGGTCTTCCAGTACAGAAACATTATTCAACACCAACCTATAAATCCACAGTATGGTTCTATCTCCATCCAAGGTATTCCCCTTATGGATAAAAGGTGTACCAACCAATTTATTAGACGGTGTTTTACTGATCAACTATACCCTTGTAAAGTCAACAAGAACCACATAATTTACAAATTTGGTAAAAGGACTCTTTATTTAAAACTTCCTGTTCAACCTAAAGTCAAAGAAACACATTTTAAAATTTTAAACAATGTCTATCCCTCAAAGGATCTGCTCAGAAAACGTTTTAACATTGATGATAATTCATGTTCCTTTTGTGGGAAGGATGTTGAAACAACTGATCGTATTTTCTTTGAATGCAACAAGACACGGACGTTTTGGAACTGTTTTGAAAACTGGATTCGACCTCAGATTGGAATCCCATGTCCCATTTCAAGAGATGTCGTCACCTTTGGAGCTCTCCTTCAAACAAACAACCAAGAACTCTGCTACAATCTACTTCTCTGTCTGGCAAAATTCTTCATACATAAACAAAAAATACTGAAATCACCCCCTGTGTTCAATGCATTTGTACATGATTTTAGATTGTATCTAAGGTCCCTTAAATGTATCAATAATAACAGCTATGAAGATATGTATAGACTTTTTTGTAGTCTGCCTGGAACTGTGTAGTGGTCCCTTGCATTGTTTTTGTTTTTGTTTGCTTTTTGTCCTCCCCCTTTTCACTGACTGTTCGATTCTCATCTGAATACATTGGCAAGTTCGCCTTATTTGTATGTAAATATGCTTTTCTGCAATAACACCCCCCCCCCCCCCCCCCCCCCCCCAAAAAAAAAGATCTTGTACCGACACCGACGAGGTCCCGCACTCATAAGCATCCTGCCCGTGGATTCGGACACACCCAGCGGGTTAGTTAACAAGCATTTTGAGGGATTGTGAAGAGTAAAACCCAAACACACGCAGCCAAATTTACAGGTTACACACAATTATTTACAATAACAGTCCACTTTATATTGTTTTATTTTGATTTCTAATATAAAACATTACAGACCCGTGATGCGGAAGTGACGTAGCTCCCTGTTGACACCAGTGTTTGTTTACGCGCTGACTGTATTGTAAAATGCCGCATTGTGCTGCTTTTGGATGCAATTTCCAGTCCAAAGGCAACAAGGGGACTGGTGTGAGTTTACACAGCTTTCCTACTGACAAGAAGAGGAGAAAGCAGTGGGAAGATGCCTGTGGAAGGACACAACTTCCAAAAGATCCACGGCTGTGTTCCCGACACTTTTCTCCTGGTGCGTTTGAGGCTTATAGTCGACCACGACTACTCAAAGAGCTCACCGGAGCGGCTGGGTATGAGAGAAGGCTGCAACTAAACGCTTTACCGACCGTTTTCCCTCACAAGGAGCCTAAACTTCCTCGCAAGGAACGTGAAATGCGCGCTAAAAATCATAAAAATCGCCACAGACCAGAGACGCTGGCCGCTGTCCTGAGCCGACATCCCGCTCCTGCAGCTGCCGCTTCCGGCGAACCATCGGACACGCCACTCGTCACGGATGAAGCTCAAAATTCACCTCTCCCGTCATTAAGTGTAGCAACACAGTATTCTAACTGTACCGATGCTGCCACTCAGACCGATTCAGACACGCCGGATGCAGCGGCGCAGTGGTCAGCTGATGTGCAGCGGGTTGTTACCGGGGAGCACGCTTACGCAGAGAAACGTGGGTTGGATCAGCAGGAAGAGGAGGACACCGGGTGCCTGGGTCTGTTCTCCTCAGGCGATGAATGCAGCGAGAGCAGTCAGCCACTACACAAAAACCCTGATCCTGAATACATTTTAAGCTCATCAGAGCCTTCCCAGAGCTCCCAGGGATCACATGCTTCAACTGCCACTGAAGGAGACAGAGTTTTCCTAGTTTTTGAGGAAAAGTTAAAACAACTACTTCAGCATTGTTTAAAGTGTGGTTCCTTGATTGCTCCTGAAGATGTGAAAGAGCTGCAAAAGGAGGGATCACCGTTGACGTTGGAGCTCACATGTGCAAAAGGCTGTAGTGACAGGTGGCAGCCTCAGCCTACTCTGAGTGGGACCAAGGGGAAAGGTAACATGCTTTTGGCAGCCTCAGTTTTCTTTAGCGGCATCCATTTAGCTACATTTAAAAGTTTTTATGACAACATGAACCTCAAAACAATATGTGAATACACATGTGCAACACTGAGGAAGAGATTTGCGTTTCTTGTTGTTGGGAAAACACGGGCAAAAGAGCAGAGTGCAGTCTTCACCAACATGAAATCTCAAGAAGAAGTTGTACTCTGTGGAGATGGGCGCTGCGACTCACCTGGCCACTCAGCCAAGTACTGCACATACACCTTTTTAGATGTGCAGAGTCAAAAGATTGTGATATATTCTACCAGAGAGTCTTTCAGACGGACAGGGGGCGGGGCTACACATAGAGATCGGACTGCTGCCAGGTTGCAATATGTTTGTTTTATTTGTCTTTATGCCAAGTTCATCATTCTTTTTATCTCTCACCTTTAAATCTTCGATTATTATCTATTATTATTTCAAAAACGATGTATCTGTCTCTAAACCATACAGCTAAAACCAGTCTGTGGGCAAAAATTCCACAACAAGTCTCATGATGCTCCTATAGAAATAGGATGAACCTTTCCCAGTGGCCTAGTGGTAGAGTGTCCGCCCTGAGACTGGGAGATCAGGGTTCGATTCCTGGTTGGGTCATACCAAAGACTTTGAAAAAATGGAACCCAATGCCTCCCTGCTTGACTCTCAGCATTAAGGGGTTGGATTGGGGGGTTAAACCACCAAATAGTTCCCGAGTGTGGCGTGTCTGCAGCTCACCGCTCCCCCAGGGGATGGGTCAAATGTGGAGAACAAATGTCGCACACACACCTGTGTGTGTGACACCTAATGGGACTTTAACTTTAACTTTCTATGCTTTTGTTTTTGAACAGGCTGTTTACCGAGATGGGGAGCGTGTTGGTGAACCCAAGTTCAAAATCTCCTGGAGCAAAGTCCACAAGAGATTCAGAGCAAGACCAGAAGGACTGTGGATACATGGAGGCTATGGTGGCCGACGTTCTCTCCTCTGCGTCAGATTAAACCAGGACATGGACATGAGAGACACTCAAGCACATATCATGGCTGCCCAGATCACTGATCATTGCTCAAACACAGCAGTTCTCACGTTTCTAGCAGTTCAAGCGTCGTTACAAACATATGATGAGCACATCGTCATGTTTTACATCCACATTGAATTTAATTTTAGGAATGCAAGGACACATTCTAAAAAGCATAAAACAGATTTTAGCGCTGCAGGCTACATTTTGTCTAAACATTTTATTTTTGACTGGTAACATTTGTTTTATACACTACTTTGCTTAACATTGCATAACTGAAACTGAAAAGTTAAAAGATTGAAAGTGATTAAAGTGCCCCTGATAGAATGGATTCAGATGTTCAGCTGTTTAAATGCTATTGAAATCTCTCCATGATTCATCTACTTCTGCATCATCACTGTCTACATCCTTAAAGCCTGTATAGATTCCACTTGGTTCTGGGTAGAAACGTCTTATTCAGTGAACTGCACATGCAGGAATGACTCTTCTACCCAGTCTGCCATGCATCCACCATGTAAACTGAGGCGTCTCTGTTAGACCTGCAACCATAGCATTCATTAAAAAGGTGAATTTATGACATAACACTAGACTGTTGTCCTTAAACAATAAAAATGTTATTGTGGGTATAAATCAATATTGTACACTGTTGTCTATTTCACTTTATATCTGTATTTTCTGAATTGAATTACAAAACTTGGCTGATCCAACACAAATGCCCTTTTGTAAATACTGTGTGCACCTTAGTCCACTGTCTTAAACTACAAACGTGGCCTGAAGCAGGACAGTAATGTTCCAAATTCAGACGGATAATTAACAGTAACTTTTATGGGTTTTCATCTGAAGACTTGGGTTACTGATTGCAGCTAATAGATAGATAAATAGCTTTCATAGTATTCATCCATCCATTTTCAGCCGCTTATCCGGAGTCGGGTCACGGAGGCAGCAGCCTAAGTCGAGAGGCCCAGACTTCCCTCTCCCCAGCCACTTGGGCCAGCTCTTCCAGGGGAAATTCCAAGGCGTTCCCTGGCCAGGTGAGAGACATAGTCCCTCCACCGTGTCCTGGGTCTACTTTTAGGCTTCCTCTCGGTTGGATGTGCCCAGAAAACCTCACCAGGGAGGCGTCCGGACCAGATGCCAGCGCCACCTCAACTGGCTCCTCTCGATGTGGAGGAGCAGCAAATCTACTCTGAGCCCCTCCCGGATGACCGAGCTTCTCACCCTATCTCTAAGGGAGAGCCCGGCCACCCTGCGGAGAAAACTCATTTTGGCCGCTTGTATCCCCGATCTCGTTCTTTCGGTCACTACCCAAAGCTCATGACCATAGGTGAGGGTAGGAACGTAGATCGACCGGTAAATCGAGAGCTTCGCCTTCTGACTCAGCTCTCTCTTCACCACGACAGACCGGTACAACGCCCGCATCACTGCAGATGCAGCACCAATCCGCCTATCGATCTCACACTCCAGTTTTCCCTCACTGGTGAACAAGACCCCGAGATACTTAAACTCCTCCACTTGGGGCAGGACCTCATCCCTGACCCGGAGAAGGCATTCTACCCTTTTCTGAATCAAGACCATGGTCTCAGATTTAGAGGAGCTGATTCTCATCCCTGCTGCTTCACACTTGACTGCAAACCGCTCCAGCGAAAGCTGGAGATCACGTTCTGATGAAGCCAACAGGACCACATCATCTGCAAAAAGCAGAGACCTGATCCTCAGGCCACCAAAACGGATTACCACTTTCATAGTAATAATATAGAAAACTATCATGGTCCTTCTATAGATTTGTCAATTAAATGTGTGCTAAATAAGAGCGTTATGTGGTTTAAGTTCATACATTATGTTCTGGGGGGCAGGAAATGATTCAAATAGTCAGAAATCAGTCTCAGTTTGATACATGATACTCTTTATTTAACACATCTTAAATATAATGCGGGGCGACTAAGCTCTGGACAGCTCCGTAGCTGCTCATATCTGACCGGCAGGAGGCTCAATCAGGACAGCCCCGACATTATATTATCGTGATTAGCAGAGGCTACCTATTAGTGACCCGGTTCCGATTGGGTAGGGCAGCACTCTCCCAGTCATGGAGGCTGACGAGGGCAGCCCATAAGACGTCTTGGTTGAGGCAAACTGCATCAAAGTTTTCATGTGCAATGATGCACGGGATATCTGCATAAATGATTAAAGTCGTTTTACTGAATATCCCAATCATCTGTAAAATACACTACGGGTGTTTCTCAAGGTCAAGGCGCCTGGCCTCGCGAGGCAATGTCTTGCGAGGCCAGGCGCCTTGCTTACAAGGACACGGTCCTTCCTTGGTCAAAGAATAGGGTAAATGGAACAGACCTGCATCATGTGACCAAGGCGGTCACGTAACATCACGTGACATGGGAGATAATGTTATATTTTATACGTATTAGTGTCAATATAAATATATAACAAGCCTTTTACGTTTTAAATTGTGTATATATTTGTTAACTTAAATATGTAAGTGAGTTACTACCCGCAAGTCACCAAAGCTGCAACTACTAAGCAACCACGGATAACTTCTTTGGATCTAAAAATAACATTTTAAATTAGTTGACTTACTTTTAAACTTGAAATTTTTCCCCGAAGTAGCTGCCGGCTTCTGATCCGCCATCCTTTTGAAAATACCGCGGTGTATTCTGGGTAATTTTTGACCAAGGCTAGTCAACAAGACTTCTCCTGTGTATCCTTGCTCAGCTAGCTAAACGGCTAAGAAACGGAGAACACACGCCTCAGTAGAACATGAAGAAACACGTCTTGGCGGCTCCTGATGACGTATCTCCTAGGCAACCGGGGCGGGGCCAAGACATCAAGGCGAGGTTCCTTGGCATTGAGAAACACCCTACAGCTCTGGATGCTAATATTCAACAAAATCATTCATAATTGAATAAGTTTGATCACACGATAGCTTACCGTTAACCTCTGCTGACAGAAATGTGAGCTCTTAACAACAAACACTCTCCCTCTCGGTTACCATGGAGACGCATTTGCCGCACACGCACCACCGGTTTTGTCCTGCACTCGCTTCATCCCGCCCTTCCTGCTCGTCATGTTGACGCTCGTTTTGTGAAACATCATCAGTGATGTCATCATTAATGTTTCACTCTGGTTCAAAGTGAAAAGACTGATCAGATGACATGTTGTCGCTGAACAGTCCCTACAGGGTCCCAAAGCCGGCCGGTGCAACCGAGGTACAACCATATGACGTCACTATCCTGAGTGCATTGCGACGCTAACAACAATGGCGACCTACGAGTTAAACTATTTTTACAAACGTTATAAAAATGAAGACATCAAAAAGTTTTTTACACCACTTTAACTTAACTGATACTAACATTTATCTTTTAAGAACCGCAAAGTTTTGTAACCTGGGTTCCTTTAAAGACTGCAGCAGGTTTGATGTTAGCCGCATCTGGACTAGTGGTTAGCTTGTCAGTCTTGAAAGATGTTAACCATTTCTCTGAACTGGGGCTGTTCACGAAGGCATAAGATTACAGTTTTACATAAAAACACACCATAAAATGAATCATGAACTTTATGTAAAAATAAACGTATCTCTGCTTTTTAGGTCTTTTATTGTAGTTTAATCAAAAGTATAAAATAATGAAGGTGGTGGAAGTTTTCTTCATCTGTTCCTCTTTTTGTGATTTTTGTGTTTTTTTTTTTTTGTGCATGAATGTCTACACTGCTAACTCTATTAACTGCCTGCACTGCCAGCCATTGTTCTACTGTTGATTGCAAAGCCTGAGAGGCTTTAATCCTGCTGAGGAGGACTACCAACATGCTGGAACATTAAACTCATCAGGAGGTTTCCTAGTTGTTGTGGATAGAGAGGTTTGATTTTCACAGATAATGGGTCGTGTCAGGTCTAAGCTGCAGCTGATCAACAGAGGGAGAGTAGGAGGAAAGCTGGACCTCCAGCATCTCTGTTCCTTTTACCTTAATGGTTTCTCCTTCTATCTCCACCGCCTTCTCCCTGAAATCCACTCCGATCGTGGCCTCGGTCTTGTCAGGGAAGCTTCCCCCGGTGAAGCGGAAGGTTAGGCAAGTCTTCCCCACGTTGGAGTCCCCGATGACGATGATCTTAAAGATCCGCGTCTGGATGCTCATCTCCAGGGAGGAGGTGCTCAGGTCCACGGAGGAGGTGACGCTAGGGGCGGCATCAGTGCCGCTGCTGGCTCGGCTCCTGCTGGCTCTGTGGAAGTCCATGGAGGATGTCAGGATGGTCACATTGTCGTCGGCTCGGTTTCTCCTCATTTTTCCTCCTCCTCCGCTCGCAGCGCGGCTCTCCTCCGGGGAATCCTTGGTCATTATTGCCGGAGAAGGCGATGCGCAGCTCGGTGTGTGGAGAGAAGTGGGGGAGGATGGGTGAGTGACGGGAGGGGGAGAAAAGGGAGGGTGGAGGACACCAGAGATGCTTTCAGCTGATGGCAGCCTTAAAGGGAGAGAACATTCACTCAGAGGCGGAAATTGAGATTTCATTTAGGGGTGGGGGGGTGGGGGGGGTGGGGGGGGTGGGGTGGGGGGCTGTTAACGGAGCGGAAATCCATCAAGGGGCGGAGCTTAATATCAGAGGAGGCTTCAATTACCCAAAGGGGAGTCTAAAGCCGGGCCAGCCGGGCAGTCACTGTGTGACTTCTGGCCGTTTTGAGGCGATTCACTAATCTGGCAAGCCAGACAAAATAAATAGGTACCGTAAATCCTCTAATATTAGCCTGTATTTAATTAAATGCCGGGTATCACATTTTGGCCGGTGTCGGAGTCGGCGGAGGTGAATAATGGCCGTTTTTTTATTGTGGCCGGGTGGAATGTGGTAACAAGCAAGTACGGGGGGGCGGTTGTGTCATCCGTCTCACTTTTGATTTGCCAGTGATAGACCGCGAGGGTAACTTTAACCGTGCGGAGACGAAGAGGAGGCGAAAATTTGATATCAAGTTCAAAGAGAACGTGCTGATTATGCTGCAGAACACTCTGGGGAGCAGTAGCAGGGGTTGTATGAACTGGTCACTAGTCGACTTCACCGCTCTATAGTGACTTGTTATGCCTGTCATCGACTAGTCGCTGTCATGTGATAATGACCGTCAAGATGCAGTCCACGGAAAAGACAGCAGCCTGCTGTCAGCAGGTGACAAGCTCCTGCGCGTCGGGGGGGCAACGCGCTGTGCCAGAGCGTCGGTACTGTCACCCGCCGTAAAACGGACATTTAACCAAATTGTGACCTTTACCCTCTTGCAATTTAACCTTCCCCTCACCCCCATCCTAACCTTAACCAGCTTGCGCATGCAAAGCTCTGATTGTTGACGCGCTCCAGACATCTGCGTCCTGAGCACGGCCACAGTAACATTATCAAATCAGGTGTCGCCACCTCAAGAACGAATTTAACACGCGATCGTTCATGTCGGCTCATTTCCTTTTATGTTTTCTGTCTTTTATTCTTTTATTTGTGCCTGATGCGTTTCGCTGCTGTGGATCAGGGCGCATCACCTGTTTTGTCCTCGGTGACGCACCTCACTGATGTGGCCAGCAAGCGCTCCACTGTTTTTGCGGTCGGTAGATCTTTTAGAACTGCAGTTCAAAGGTAACTCATAAGGTGAATATATATGAACCCAGGTAGCAGTTTTTCTTTAGGACTGAGAGGAGATGCAGGAAGATAATAAACAGGCAGCTAGGGTTGTCACGATACTAAAATTTCAAACTCGATTCGATACTTGAAAAAAATACTCGATGCTCGATTTCGATACTATTTAAAAACACCCATTTATCGAACAAGTTTATTCAAAAAATAACATTCCTCAATTTATATTACAAAAATTAAATGTTAAGAATTAAGTGTGTAAAGTGCTTAAACCTTTCAAGTATCAGCATTTTTTAAAACGTGCATACAAAAACTGGTGAAAGTTAACACTTTAAATCATGAATTGTCTCACTATATATACACTATTTGCAGAGTGATGTTTTGCTGCTTAAACTCTGTTTAAGGTGCATTTTTGTCATAAGATGTAATGCCATATGTTTTGTTCTGTACTTTTGAACAACTCTGTTGGTCAATAAAGGGAGAAAACGAATTTCTCCACAGTAGGACAAAGGTACATCTACCGGTAATCTTAATAAAAACAGACTGGCGCACGGCAGTGACGTCATTAAAAGCGCCGGTTAGATTAGCCGCAGCTAGTCTGTTCACGCCTAGAAATCCCAGACCAGACCCGCTCCAAACGAACAGGGGAATCACGTTAATGATTCCTAACAAAACCTTTCGACATGAAGATGTTTTGGTGCAGATAATGTCTTATTTCGAGGCTGCACCATGGGTGCCCGTCCGCACCCGTTATATGGATATACACTGACGGCGATTCGCCGATGGATCTACGGTAAATACCCCGGGGAATCCAAGTAGCACCTAAGGTGTCAACGTGAGTAAACAAACATACTGCATGCTAGAAATTAAGTCCGGGTTGCAATAAACGGGAGTTTTCCTTTAAGCACATAAGTGTGAATATACAACTACGTGTCGGACTTGGTATGCTGGGCTGTGAAGCGCCTCCCAAATTCGCTGTTTATGTTTTTGTTTATTTATTTGGCAGACAAAACTTGGATCGGAGACAACTCGCGTGGGAAATTGTAATGTAGCCATGCGGCGTCTTCTTCTTCTGTTTGTCTGGGAGGTGGAGGCTGCTTTACGGCATCTGGCTGTCGTGCGTGTCGGTGTACTTGAAGAAGGTTGTGTATAATAGTCCATAATATCAATACCACAGGGATGGAATATCTCATTTAGATACCACTTTTAGCATCGATTTATATCTAGGTATCGATTTTTTTGACAACACTACAGGCAGGACAGAAAAATAGTCAAATAAAAACAAGTTAGTTTTTGTACCTGGTGGTTGCAACAAACAGACACCATTGAAGGTAATCAGAAGTGAGGAACAGAAAATGAAATAATTATTTTAATGTTTAGAGCAGCAGGAACTCCGAGAGGCTGCAGGCGCATCAGTGAGTTTGCGGCCGCTGCGCAGGGGGAGGGGGGAGAGGGCTGAAGCAGGGGGAGGGGGGAGAGGGCTGAAGCAGGGGGAGGGGGGAGAGGGCTGAAGCAGGGGGAGGGGGGAGAGGGCTGAAGCAGGGGGAGGGGGGAGAGGGCTGAAGCAGGGGGAGGGGGGAGAGGGCTGAAGCAGAAACTACCGTTGTTAAAAGAAATGTGTTTAACTTTGAAAATGTGGGCGCAATTTTAATTGTCAAAAACTCCAACAAACCATTAGTTCATTTTGCTCAAATAGAAATTGAGGCCTGCCTCTAATACTGGTCCTCCTTCCAATAAAGGCCTGGAGCTTGATGAGCTTGAGTCAAAAACAGGCCCGGGCCTGTATTAGAGGATTTACGGTAAGTCTGGCATGACAACGCTCCATTGACGGTTCTCGTCATGGGGTGGGTTCTACTGTTGTCTTTCAAACAATCTACGCATGCTACTGGACAACTAACAACTTGACGTACTCACCGCAACAGATGTCGATAAACAAGGCAGTCTGCTGTTGAAAAAGGCGAAAATACTGTACATGCTTTTTCTAAATAAAAAACGTGAATACATCCATTTGTCCAAATAGTTCAAAATTGATGTAAAAGCTGTCTCAAACAAGCTGTCACCATTTTGTTCCACATCATCAAATCATAAGGAGTCTAAGTCACGCCTATCAACTTCCGGACCACGGGTCCCCGGAAGAACAAAAACACGAATGCAAGTCAACGGGACTAAAAACGCTATTTTCTAATTCCGCTTGTTTTGTGCCATGGATTTCACATATGTCTGTGAATCTTAAAGATGCATTTTGATACCAAGAAAGCGCTTATTTTCGAACAGGGGGAAACGTTATTTTTCGTTTTATGTGAAAATAAGTCCAGGACTACAAATCACGCATCGTCATCGAACCAGACAGGAAGAAAACTGAATTCAGCAAACTTCAAATCCTTCCTTCAGGAGGAAAGAACCACCAGAAATCTGGCCATGTGGTAGTAGCAGCTACGCTACTTACTAGCGCCTCTGCTAGTAAAAGCCAAACATTAGCATTGGCAACTCCACAACATGGCAACATGGTTTTATTTCTGGAGATAAAACATCAACTTTTCATAGCAAATAGAGTCAGTGGTAGAGTCGCCTTGTTGTTAGCCAATCAGAGGCTAGATGTCCGAAAATTAAGATATAGGACTCCAAATCCTGCTGCTTTCTGCTCCAGAGTGTTCACAAGGTATTTGTTTAAACTAGAGACCACTGGAACTGTTTTATAAAAGTGGATTTCATATCAAGACCCCACTGTCTACCTGGTAGTGAGGCTAATGAAGAAGTTTCCATCCGTCTTCAGTTCCAGTCACACGTGCCTAAAATCAGACACGAAATCAACTCAAACTGGACAACATAACAGGTTGCAGACCCCTGGTACACTTTAATACTTTAAGTTATGAGTCCCACCTGCAGTTGAAAAGCATTGTTGATGCAGACTGTACTTCGGTGTGCAGCGCAGATATTTTCCACTCAGAAACGAGGGCAGATTTTCTCACCAGCTCTGGTCAAACGACTCTGTCATATTATTACATTCCATGAAACAACATACAGTTGGATTGCAGCCTTTCCAGATTCCAGCATAACCTGTTCAAATCAATACGTTTGATTGCTTCTTAACGTGAATGATTTGGTTTTAAACTGGAAATCAACATATCTCATTACGTCGTGTTTAGAAAGCATTTAACCAGGTTAAAAGCTGCACAAATCTTTCACTGCTGTAACGTCCAGCAATGGTCAGTTTAGGAACTGTTTGACCATTCAACATCTGGTCAAAAAGGAGACACGAGACTGCACGTAATCCCTTTAAACCAGCATGCCTTCTTCACTCCAGCTGGAGGTCAGAGCCTGCAGCTCTGACAGAGATAATGAAATCATAACAATAACATTCTCTCCTTCCAAGGTCCCTCACAGAGCAACTCTTTTATCTAAACTCCTTGCCTCACAGAAGAAAGAAGATTTTTAAAATTAAATATGAACTTCTGAAATTTACAAGCTAGATAATCATTAAATAAATGTTTGTTTATTGCTACTTATAATAATTATAAAACAATGAAATGTTTCATTTATCTGTGCTCAGTGATTGTTTCAGCATGTTTACTTGACAAGGTCATAACATTTGCACTCACACAAGAACAAAGTAAGGTAAAGTTAAATCCATGACACATAATTAGCCTTCGCCCCAGATCAGAGCCTCCGGATCAAAGAAGGCGTGTTTCTCTGAGATTCTTGGTAATATCCTCAAACTTGTCAGCTTTTGGTTGTCTACACATTCATAACATCATAAAATTAAAACTAGATCACTCTGGTTATTCTTGAGTTCTAGAGAAGCTTCAGACCGGCCACTTGTAGCTAAACCTCTTTAACCATCAAAGATTTTGACACG